TTTAAGTAGAAAACTTAAAATAATAAGGTAGTAAGTAAAGCGCTTATAAATATCTCGGCTATTATAGTTATCCTTCGATTAAATAGCTAAACAGTGCTTTAGTTACTAGTTAGGTTTTAGTATACTTCTTATAATAGTTATAGATTTTTATCTTTATTACCTTTTCCTTCCTAGCTCCTTTTTACCTCCTCCTTTTCTTATTAAATTAGCGTTTTTAAGGCTTTTATATAAAGATCCTTTTTTACTTTACTAAGTTATAATAGCTAAACCTCGATTATATACCTTAGGCCTTTCTTAGGTATCTATAGTTACTCTTCTTTCTTTTCCTAGCTTTAATCCTTCTAAGGTTTATTAAGAAGTTATTATAACTATAGTACTATTTAATCTAAGGCTTCTCTACTTAGTAAGAGTAGTAAATTATCTACTTTATTTATTATTTCTTCCTTCCTCCTTTTATCGAGAGTAATCTTATCCTAAAGTAACTAGTTATCCTTAGTAAAGTATTATTAACCTTTCTTATTATTTTTAAACTTCTTTAAATACTCTCTTAAGATTATCTTATTAAGCACGATTCTATTTAAAGTCTTAATCCTATATACCCTAGACTACTCTAAGTATAATACTACTTAAAAGGGACCGTTCTACCTTATTTAATACTTAGCTTACCTCCTTAGATTATTTAATCGTCTTACGTTAAATAGTAAGATAAGGTCTCTAAGTTATAGGCTTTCTTTCCTTATTATATACTTATTAGCTTTATCTATCCTCTTTATTAATCGATTCTAATATCTTATTACTCGTTTCTTAGCTTCTTTTATATCTTTTTCTTTCCTTTTTAAAACTTATACTTATACTTTAAATAATTCTTCTCTTATCTTTACTTTATCTTAGTTAATTAGTCGCTAAGTTAGGTATTCTACCTTAAGAGGTAGTACTAGTTCCTATCTATATAATAGGTAGAAAGCTAATATTCTATAAGACTCTTTAATTATTATTTAGTTTATAAGGATTACTTAGTTAAGGTATTTAATCTACTTACCCTTTTTCTCCGCTATTTTTATAAGTACTATTATTAACCTTTAATACCCTTATTTTACTACTATATTTACCTTTAGATTATATACTAAAGTTTAAATAACTTTAACGCTTATATCCTTTAGGATATACTTAAAGTCTTTCTTTATTTTAGGCCCTCTATTAATTATAGCGTATAATATTACGCTATACCTATAAATAATAAAAAGTATAAATTTAGTTAAAGCTCTTATAGTAATTTCTTTAACTAAGGTTACTTCTACTTATTTAATAAGGTCGTCTCGTGCTTTTATAAGGTACGAATACCTATAATTAGATAGTATATACTAGCTATTAAAGTAAATCTTACTTATAAGGTAGCTAGGCGCGGTCGCGGTTATAACTTCCTAGGGTCTCTTAGTCGTAAAGTATTAATATTCTTTATAGGAAGAGATTATACTATAAATATCGTTTTAAAAGCTAGCCTACTAATACCTATTCTTTATAAATATATATATAACTTATCGTCCTTTATATCTTATTTACGCGTAGTACTTTACGATAATCTTTTTCTATTCTTTTAGGTCGTCTATAACTAATATAGGTCCCCTTTCTTCCTTCTTAAGGAGTCGCTAAAGCTTTTAATCTTTAACATAGAAATTTAGACTCTTTAGATATAGCTTCCTATAGTCTTATTTAAAAAGGCCCTTTAGCCGTTTTAATATTTAAAGGAAGTCTATAATTATCCTCGATTCCTTTAAGTAGTCCTTTTATAGCTTAGTCCCTTATACTACGTTTTAGTAAAAGTCTATAAATTCTTTAATATCGCCTTTTATTTCCCTATTTAATACGTTAAAAGGTCCTTTAGGCTTTCTTAAGAGTCCGTTAGCTATATTTTTCTTCTTACCTTTAACGTATTATATAGTAAAGTTAAAGAGGAAAATATAGCTTATTTAGTAAGTTACTATAGCTCTAGGGATATCTTTAAGGGCACCTTTTAGTTAATCGACTAGGACCTATACGTTAGTTTCTAGGATAAAATATACGCTATATAGGTATATTCTTAGTCTTTTAAGCGCACTTAATATAGCTTTATACTCCCTCTTTATCGTATTATATTTAGTTTCTACTAGTAACTACGTTTTACTTTTAAACCTTATAGGGCGCCTCTTTCTATCGACGATTTATATTAAGACTGCCCTTTAGCTAAGTAGACTAGTATTATATATTAGAATAATATCTGCTCTTCCTAAGCTAACATCGAGGGATACTAGAAAGACTAGATTAGTAATAGCTTCCTTAAGGGTAGCTATTACTTTTACTTATTTATCTCCTTATTTCTAATAAATATCTTTCTTTAGTAGGTCTATAAGGGGTTTTACTAAGATAGCGAACTATTTAATTTAGATTCGATAGTATCGTATAATACTAAGGAAAGCTTTAATATATATTATATTAAAGTATCTTATTTATTCCTTAATTTTAATAACTTTAGCTTTTATAGGGCACCTTCTATTTATTCTATAAATATAATTAATAACTTTAGTTACTTACTAATAGAATTTCGATTTAGCCCTTATAATTATATAACTAAAGAGTTCGACGTTAACTAGGACTTTATTAAGGTTAATAAGGTATTTAAAGATAAATCTCCTTACTTTTAGCGCTACCTCTTTATTATTATACGTTATATTAGGCCCCTTAATCCTTATATTATTAAGGAAATTCCTATAAATATTCGGTATAAGGTCTTATAGGATTCTTTATATTATCCTTATAAATCAGCTAACTAAGTTTATAGCCCTCTAAGGGAGTATATATATACGTAAGAGGCTAATAAGTATCGCGAATATCGTTAAGTTATAGCTTTTAATATTAAGAGGGATCTAATTATAGCTTAAAAAAGGTCTAGGAAGGAAAGGATCTTATATATCGAGAAGTAGTCGCTAAACTTATTTATATTCGGTAGTAGGTTTATATCTCTTATTATAACGGTATTTATACGTATAGCGGAATTAATTAAGCGTAGTCCTCTATCTTTCTTTACTACTAGGAAAAAGGGGTTCTTATAGGGCCTATACCCTTCTTTAAGGACTCTTATTTTTAGTTTAATTTTAAGGATATTAATAACTTTCTACTCTATTACTTTTAAGATTAGGATTAAGGCTACTTACTACGCTTTATATTTTATTATCCTAATAACCTATAGGGGGGCTATAGCTAGGTTGACTTTACCTCTTTCTATAAAGTCCTAGGATAACGCTACTTCCTTATTAAATAGAATACTATTAAAGATCTAGATTTCTACCCTTAAATTATTTATAAATTACTTTAAGTCTTTCTTATATTAGCCGCTTTCCTTTCTATATACTTAAGAATTTTCCTATTAAGTATTCCGGGTAAGGTCTAGGCTATATCTTATCTTTAATAGTATTCTACTTAGTCTTCTTTTAGTTAGGGTCCCCTTCTAGCGTTAAGCCGTCTAATAGAGTATTATTAATAGGGTTAATCTTATTTACTTTTCTTTTAAAGAGAGTATTAACTCTTAGATTATATAATCTAATAGGTCGTTTCCTCCCTATCTTAACTTTAACCTTCTAGATCTTTTTAAACTTCTTTCTAGCTTTAATAATATTTTTCTTAAATTCTCTTATAGCCTCTATAACTATAACTTTAATAATCTCTTCTACTATTTTAGATCTAATAGCTAGAATCGCCTTATCTCCTTCGTCTATAATTAATTACTATTATACTAGTACTATTAAGGGCTCGTTTACGCTAGCGTAGGCTAGGTTAGGGACTTAATTAGCGCCCCCTCTATAACTAAGGATCTTACCTCTTAGTAAGAGAATCTCGGCTAATAGATTATTAACCTTCTTTTAATAGACCGTACCTAAGCCTACGCCTCTACCTACTTTATAATACCATCTCTTTCTTTACCTTTATATCTAACCCCTAGTATACTAAGGTATCGCCGCTAGCCTTAACGATATAGCCGGCGAATCTATTAACCTAATAATACTTTAAAGGTAGCTTAAGGGTAGCCTAGGTAAGAGCCTAGTTAGTAAGGTATTTTTCCTACTCTCGGCTAAGCCTTTAATATACGTCTTTTACTTCCTTAATAGGTAGAGCCCCTTTAAGACGCGTATAAAGGGTCCCTCTTAGAATACCTTACTTTTAACTAGTATAAAGCTAAGGTATTACGTTTTTAATAGCTTAAAGTGCTTCTTAAAGCCAGTTTTTAGTATACTTAGAAAGCCGAAGTATTGCTAAGATAAATAGTATTTATTTTATAATTATAGAGCAAGAGATGCACGAGAAAACGCGGTTGCAATATAATATATTTAACGACGCGATGGTGTTATAGAGGGTGCCGGTGTTAGGGTGTGCCGGACTTTAGGTGGGCTGACTTAGTAGTGGCCTCCTAAGCGGCTCCTTAGTTGTAGTACAGCGCAGAGCGTTGCTCGATATGGAAAAGCTCTAATGACGATGCCAGCTGCAGCCCACCTCCCTAGTAGAAGGGGGCGTGCGGACAATTACGTGCAACAAGGGCTATGGCTGCACCCAGGGTCTGTGCAGTGAGCTTGCCCTGCACGCCCGGGGCGTGGCCAGCCCGTGATTTGCAACACTCGACCTCAGCTGTGGTGGCCAGTAGTGATGGAAGAAGAAGCATCGTGGACCACTACGCAGTACAGAGCGAAGGTCCACCAAGCCAGTTTGCCAGTCAGCTCTGTGCTGGCACTTGCATGACCCACGCCATGCGTTCAGTAGTCTAGCAAACGAATTGGATCTTGTATTGATTGGGACGGCTCAACCCCCGCCTCCACGCTGTGTGTCTGGTTCTATCGCCTTCTCTCGGCTTGCAGGCATCACGGCTTGCCATTGAGAAGTTCCAGTCGCAAATTGCAGCCCCGTTTCCGTTCCTATTTATTGTTTTGACATTATCATTACATCATCATTGCCCTCGCTGCCAATCAGTCATCAAAATGTGCGGCATCGTGGCTAGCTGTCGTTGCCCAAGCGCAGGGGAGACGACAACAGAGAACGGAGACGGGTCCGTCAATCACGGCATCGAGACGTCGCCCCAACAGCTCTCCCAGCATCTCCAGCACGGCCTCGACGCCATCAAACATCGCGGTCCGGACGGCTCAGGCACCTGGGTCAGCCAAGATGGCTCAATCGGCCTCGGCCACTGCCGCCTGTCCATCAATGACCTCTCGCCGTTGGGCGCCCAGCCCATCCACAACGCCGACTCTATCCACGCCGTGGTCAATGGCGAGATTTACGACTTTGACAGGCTCCGCGACATCTGCGCCAGCGAACACGGGTACCGATTCACCGGTCATAGTGACAGCGAGCTAGTTGTCGCCCTCTACCAGATCCACGGGGCCCCTGGTTTGTTTGAGCATCTCCGCGGCGAGTTTGCCTTTGTCCTTGTGGACCAGAGACCAGGCAGCCAACGCGTCATTGCCGTCCGTGATCGCTTTGGTATCAAGCCACTTGTCTGGACCACGGTCGGTGACCGAGTCGTCTTGGCTGCAGAGGCCAAGGCCCTTAAGCCGCTGGGGTGGCAGCCTGAATGGGACGTCCAGAGCATCACCGACTCGGGCTGGCTGGTGGATGAGCGGACAGTCTTTAAGAATGTCCAGTCCGTTAAACCGGGCCACTGGATGGAAATCACCGACGGTCGCGGGATTCAGATGCACCAATACTGGGACGCGGATTTCCCAGACAAGGTCAGTTGCAGCCACACAGAGAAGCAGCACCATGCAAGAAACGCATCGTTGCGACCATCCAGCCAACAGTTGAGCGACAATGGCTAATTAGTTTGGATTCTACTAACGGGAGAGCATTCAATAGACCATAGTCGAGACCCGTACTATCGAGGAAATGGTCCAGGGCGTGCGCGAGCGGCTCATCAACGCCGTCCGCCTTCGCATGCGTGCCGACGTCCCCATCGGCGTCTATCTATCGGGTGGCATTGACTCATCGGCCATTGCAGGCATCGTGACGCATCTAGCTCGCACGGAAAACGTCAAGATTGGCAGCGACAAGGCTACTCAGGTAGCGTGCTTCAGCGTCCAGTTTCCCGAAGCGTCGGGCTACGACGAGTCTGGTGAGTATGCATCTTGTACGCCAGCATGTAATTACATGCCGCACAGACAAACACAGGCAAACACAGACAAGCACACACATATATATAGTTATGCGCATGCAGCACATTTGGTGCTCATCGGCTAACAGTTCATTTTAGACATAGCTGACCGTACGGCAAATTGGCTGGGCATCGAAATTCACAGGCACAACGCTGATGAGCAGAGGCTGGCTGACGACTTTGTCGACGCCGCCTACCATAACGAGCAGCACCACATGGACCTCAACTCGGTAGCCAAGTTTGCCCTATCATCGCTGCCGCAACAGCAAGGCCTCAAGGTAGTTCTCACGGGCGAAGGGTCCGATGAGCACTTTGGTGGCTACGCCTTCTTGACGCACCAATACCTTTACGAGCCAGACCTAGCCATGCCCAACATATTGGCCGACGACACCAAGCTACGAGTGAGCTTGGAGACCTTGGCAATCAATAAGAGGCACGAAATGACAGCAAATGATGGCAGCCGAACCTACAATGGCTTCGATGATGGCGTGCTAGAGCCCGTCAATGGCAGTACCATGCCTGCAACAATTCAAGCCTGGGACCCTGTTAGCACTCTATATTCGCCTTGGGTTCAACGGCAGGCCCAAGGATACGACACACGCAAAACTGTACTAGCTAGCATCTTGCCCGATGTCCTGCCCAAGATAAAGGACCAGTGGCATCATCTACACGCGGGCCTCTACATGTGGCAGAAGTCGGTGCTAGCAAACACGCTTCTGACGTGCGAGGGCGACCGCGCAGAGATGAGCCACAGCATCGAGGCCCGAACGCCGTTTCTGGATCACAGCCTGACTGAATACGTCAACTCACTCCCGCCCTCTACCAAGCTTAGGTACACGCCGCCCAATAAAGATGATGGCGATGATGAGGACGGCACGGCCAGCGCCCCTAGACGAGCCATCGTGGAGAAATGGATCCTGCGTGAGGCGGTGCGGCCCTTTGTTACCGACGAGGTGTACCGGCGGAGAAAGGTTCCCTTTTCGGCGCCAACGAGGTGGCCTAAGGACGGGCCTCTGCACTGTATGTTCAAGCGACTACTGACGCGCGAGGCTGTCGAGGAGCTGGGATTCGTAGACTATGCTGTCGTTGAGGCGGCCCTGGAGTCGGCCTTTGGCGAGACGCCGGACCAAGTCGCGTTTCGAACCCTTAACTACACGGGTGGGTGGGTAGCCATTGGGCAGAGGCTTGGTGTCAAGAAGGCGACGGTCGAGGAGTCGAATTGGAGCTGGGTGTAGCCGTGTTATACATCCGGGACCTTTGGCGACATGTGTAGATCCGACAATAGGAGTGACCACCCACGAGACGACGTTCCCGTTTAGAGGGCCAAATCGTCGCTCAATTGGCATTACAGTGGTGGACGACGTTTGATTGAACACTACCATTTACATACTCGGTTACAGCAGGCATAGCAGGCCGAGGCATCCAATAACCAACCTCGATTATAGGATAAGCAAGAACATCTGCAGTTCCCTTTCGTTGGACAGTTGTTGTCTATCTATGGCAGTCAAAAGAGGCTTCTAGATGTCTTCACTATAGTAGACTCATTGGGGATGCATGTGGACTACATTGAGTAAAGACGTGTGTTGACAAGCAGTTTGATTTATTCAGCCCTGCAGGTGTGAACCAAGGAGTCTCAGAAAGTTTCTCCACGAACATGCCTCCGTACGGCGACCTCCAGCGACTCCAAATTGATACTGTCCAGACCAATGCTCTGGTTGTCCCACTTGCCGTATAGAGTTCCCCCGGTGGCCCATATACGCCTCAGGGCGGGACCCACGGCGAAGGGGTTTTGTTCTTTGCACATCTGATCTTCGAATGCCTCTACCTCGGCCAGCGGAATATGCTTCACAGTAAACCTGGCGCCCGTCTGTTTTTCGCATTCTGCAAGGACTTGGTTCGGTGTTGCTACAAACGACATTACCTTGAGAGCCTTGTTGAACGACGCTTCCGGGTGCCGGAGAGCGGCGACTACTGCCTTGCCTGTGCTATAGTTGCTCGTTAACTCATCATGTCCATGGGGCACACGCACTTGCGTGTGTACGTACTCTGGCATGGTCGTGAAGCCAATCTGCCCTTGTCCGTCTGCGATGACGGCGGCTTCTTTATTCTTGATGTCGAAGCCGCCCAGTTTATACCCAAAATTGCCCGTGCCCACCCACATCTCGAAATACGGGCCCACGACGACGTACGTGACTTTCAAGCGCCTCGTGTGCTCTCGGACGTACTTGCGAACGGCCAGCTTCATCTGATGCGGCTTCTCGTTGGAGCTCCTCGAATTGTGCTCGACATCAGTGCCGTACTCGGAGGGGAAGAACCATTGCACGCTCTCTGACTCCTCAGCCAGCCGGATCAATTCCTTCTGTTGATCCAGGACCTCCCGTCCGACACAGCTGATGACGGTGTCGACGCCGCGATATGCGTTGGCCATGTGAGCCTGGTTGGTGACGTCGCCGACCATGATGGACACGCCAGACGCTTTCCAGCTATCGAGGAGCTCATGCTTCGCAGACGCAGTGGCTGCCGACGTCAAGACGGTGATTTTGGGGAACGAAGGCCTGGATTGCACCACGCTGTTGGTGATGTACTTGCCAATGTTGCCAGTGGCCCCAATTATGAGGATGTGAGAGGGTAACGGAGCGGCCATGGCTGCAAATGGACAAGACGGAGGCGCCCAACGACGAGTGTTACTTGGATGGAATTGTCACGTAAAAAGAAATAATACTTGTCCATTTCCCCGCCAAAGATTATCCTCTAAGTTACTCCCCCTTCATTGGCCCCCGCATTCGGCCTCGATTCCTCCGATGGCTTCAGTTCGACCGCAGTTTGCTGCCTTCTTCCAGCCCAATGAATCAGCCACTTGCTCCCTAGCTTATATACCTACATATCTCTTCAGTTCACCTGGGCGTGGTTGCGGAGCTCAGATCCAGGTCATGTCTAGCTATCTGAGACACTGCAAATGTCACATTTGGTCTCGTCGAAATGGCCGCCAACAGGATAAGTTGATGCCGGGCCCTACCAGGTTCTGGTACTCGGCCGGACACAATATTAGACCCTCTCTATAATGACACGCTCGGTACAGACAGGTTTTCGCTACTAGGCTACGTGGCTTGACAGACGTGTTGGCGTTCATTGCATAGTATATGCCCCGTGCTCGCGACGAGCAGACAATCTTACGGGTGCGAACCAAGAGTGTAACCTCCTCCTCGCCCTTGGACTACTTCTCTAATCTCTTCTCGACGATGGCACGCAGCGGTCTACCGGAAAACATGATGGAAATATACTGATTCCATTCAAAATCCTTGACCCTGCGACAACGTGTTAGTTGAATGGCCATTATTTTGCTGCGATTGAAACCCACGTCGTTTCGTAAGGCTCTACTCGAAATCGCCGGAAGACAGCGGCGAGAGCAGTGTATAGCATCATCAGCGAGTACCTGGTCACAGAGTCGCTGGGTTTAGCATTTGCGTTGTGCAGCGGAGGCGTGGCACTCACTGTTCGGCAGGGCACATGCGGCGGCCTCGGGAGAAGGCCACGAGCGAGTTGGAGCCGTCGTCATCGGCCCATCTGTCCGGTTCGAACCTTTCGGGATTCGGAAACACCTTGGGATCCATGTGTACAAAGTAGGACGGTGCTGCGACAACGGCCTGGGGCGGTGTTTATTGTCAGAAAGCCGAGAGAGATTTCGCACGTAGGGCTATGCGTATTACCTTTGCGGGAACGTCGTAGCCAGCAACTCGAGCACCGCCTTTGCCGACGAGCCGAGGGGGCCCCGTGGCCACGCCATGCGTCAAGCGGATGCCCTCTTGCACTGTACCTCTCTGCGAAGTGGTGTTTAGACGCGTCAGCATTACACGACTCGTGAAACTCGAGTGGATTTTGCACAGATCCATCACTTACGAGTAGGGGAAGGCCTCGTAAGACCTTGTAAGAAGGCACAGGGCTCTGCATGTTAGGCCACGACGACTTGAGCTCCTGGTAAAGCCGCGCCTGGAGAGCCGGATCTCGGGCGACCATGAATGTGCTCAGGGATAGGATATTGGGCGGATCAACGGTGCCAGCAAGCATGAAACCGATGGCTTCGGACCTGACCACCGAGTCCGGAGTGGCCGACGACACTGCAGACCTGTGGCGAACATGTTCGTTCAGGAGGCGTTGGGTGACGCAGTCTGGGTTCTGGCCTTTGGCGTTCTTCTCGTGTTCGACGACCTCTGCTAGTATCTAATCCACATGTCGCCGTCAGTAGACTCTCTTTGAAGCGGGCGCGTACATGTTTTGCGGATTCCTTGATTACCTCGAACATGCGGTTTGCCCCCTCAAACGAGCGAGTCACCAGAGACACCATGGCGGGTGGCAGCTTCATGACCACGGCGGAGAAGATGGGGAAGTTCCTGATGAGCCACGACGTCCAGTTGAGGGAGTCTGCAGAGGCGACGGTGAGCGGGTCGTCAAAATCAGGGCCGCGAAGCGACTTGAAACGGTCGGGGACGTCGGTAAAGATGAAGTCGTACATGATGCCAACTGTCAATGAGCGGTATCCCGCGGCGAGGCTGCAAACGCGTCGACGCTCGGCAGACAGAGAAACAAGGTTGGTAAATTGTTGGACCTTTGCCGCAATGCTGGCTTGATGCGTCTCGTATTGGCGGGCCGAGAAGAGTGTGGCAACCGGACGGAAGCGTGCCTTGTGCTCGGCGGCATCACCGTCGACGAGCAACATGGTGTCGGACTCGACTCGAAGATGGTTGTAAAAGTCTGGATCCTTGATTCCGTTGAAAGCGGTGTTGTAAATGTCGAAAAAGGCCGCCGGGTCGCAAAAGTCAAGCTCGTTTGGCGAGGTGCGAATGACGGGACCGTAGCGCTTGTGCAACTCCTTGGTCGTGTGCAGTAGCTTGCCGTCTCGCCAAAACTGGTGATATGCCCGCCATAGCGTCGACACTGCGGCCAGCCTGGGGCCGGGGAAGTTGGCCAGAGGGTGGAAATGGAGCCTGTAGAGGAAGATGCACGCTCTGTAGGCCAGAAACGCGACGAGCAACGTTGGCCCCAGACTTTGAAGCTCCATCGCGGCACTGCGAGACTGCTCTGGCTGGGGGCTGTCACGAAAGGTCTGCGCAGCTCCCCAGATGGTGCGTGCGTGAACAGAGAGGCTTGAAGCTCACTTATTACATACTATATGTATGTACGATGGTAATTAATAGCGGTGGCGAACGCTGGATGTTTCTCGCCAGCAGCTCGGAGGATCCCAAACGAGCCACTGGACCGGACTGGACTGGCCACTGAACCGCCACTCTCGGGCCATGCATGTGCTGTAATAATACTGTACATATGTACATTAGATCTGCCGGTAGATGCATGGTCGACGGGCTGCACTGTCACACCGAGCGCAGCGCCGGGCGGGGGCAAGCTCTACAGGGCCGCAGCCCCCTCCTTTTGCGCACAGAGGGTTTACAGGGGGGGGGCCTAGTTACAGGGGGGGCTTCGGGGGAGGAGCCTGCAGGGAACCTGTCAGGTCGCACGACTATTATTATTCCAACTACCGTCCGCCGTTAGCACTCGGCTTGCATCGTCACTGCGCAAGCCCATTTTGCATCACAGAAATGCGGAGCGTGTTGTCAACGCAGGCCAGGCTTGAAAGCGCCACCCCGCTCTCGACTTGTTGCTCTCGCATTAGGCCCCTGTCGATCCGCAGGTAGATGCCCCAAACCAGAGAGACGTGGCCTGACAAGAGCCGGAGCTGATGGCCAGCGGAGCTCTTAGCCAGCGGAGCTGCGAGCAGCCGCAGAGGAGGGCTCGGGCCCCGAAAGGGTTTCCGGCCCAGGTCGGCCTGCCAAACAATCGACCGCTTTGCAGCTGGACACGAGCTGGACGGCAGCGCTGGCTTCAACCTGGTATGCGGGCGTGCTGCTTGTCGCCGCCCACCATCTCTCTCTACCCCAAGCCCACATGCCAAGTCGGCAAGAGAACAGGACACATTCTCAGGCTTCACAACACATCAAAAAACACTCCCCCTCACATCCACCATGTCCACCCATGCAGCTTCGCCGCCGTTGCGGCACTATCTCCTTTCTTATCCCAGGACTGCATCCAACCTCGTCGTCAAGATTCTCCACCTCGACTCGCAGCCCAGCGTCTCGTCTGGTGAGCTCGATGGCGGCTACTTCTTCATGCGCGCTGACGATATGCTCATCGAGCCACACTTCCGGACCAAATCTGTCGCCGACTGGACCTCCGAGGAGAGGAGCCAGGTGCAAAAGTGTTACCAGGGGTGCTTTGACGACATGCGAACATGGCTGGATTCCCAGCACGCCCGCGGCCAGTGTGTTTTTGTCAAGGAGCACACCACCTTTCTCGCCAGGCCAGAGGAACGTAGCCGTCTGGTGCTTGGAACTGGCATCCATGGCGCGCCATTGACGGTCGAGGACACGGCTGGCTCGACCTGGTCTGACCAAAATTTCACCGTGTTGCCCGACGAGTTTCTCCAGACGTGGCTGCCGACTTTTCTCATCAGGCACCCGGCTTTGGCGTTTCCGTCCTATTATCGGACCATCGTCAAGATGCGAGGTAACGAGGGAGCTGCGGCGGATGATTACGCATCCTTCATGACGTCGGTACAGTGGTCTCGCCAACTCCATGACTTGTATCTTCAATGGCGGGACAAGCTGCCCTGCTCCGCCGACAAGAGAGACGTCTGGCCAATTGTACTAGACGCAGACGACGTCATATCCAGCCCAGACACAATGACGCTGTATTGCCACATGCTCGACATGGATCCGGCGAAACTACGATTCACCTGGGACGAGCTCAAACAGAACCATTTGTTGCACATGGCTCCGTGTCAGCAGGTTATGCGGTCTACCCTGCTCCAATCTACCGGTGTTATCAAAGCCAAGGCACAGAGCGAGATTGATATTGCCGACGAGGCAGAGAAATGGAAGACTGAATTCGGAGCAGGTGCAGCTCAGCGTATTGCCAAGATGGTGCGCGAGGCCATGCCAGATTACGAATATCTGAGAGCGAAACGGCTGCGAGCAGATGCATGATGGTGCAAACACTGGCCAGGCAAGCTAAACGGACACCGCGGCGCTGACGTCTCGGCCCAGAAGCTATATGAGAGAGAGAGAGGGAGAGAGAGAGAGAGGGAGAGAGAGGAGGGGGGGGGGGGGTGGAGAAATATAGAATCCTATTCCTCCTGAATCAGACATCGACGACCCTCATGTCGTATCCCTTTGTTGTCTTCCTCGGCTCCTTTTCGCCGTCGTCGTTGTAGACTTGCTCGTCTCCGTGCCGCCTTCGATCGCGAACCTCCAGGCGCGGCAGGACACGCAGCGCCAGTTCCGCTACGCTCACATACAAAACGCAGTACGCCAGCCTGTGGGCCGTGAGTCATGAGCACCCGAGAGAGGCAAGTGTGGGCTGTAGCAAAAGACACTTACTGAAAACCGACACAGAATCGGCTTCCCTTGGAGAAGCTGAGGAGATGGCGGTCGAGGCGGCTGTGCCTCTGCCCGGCGTCGTCTAGCCACCTCTCGGGCCGAAACGCGTTTGCTTCCGGGAATATGGACTCGTCCAGATGCACCAAGCAGGCCGACATGCCCACGGCGGTGCCGCGCGGGATAGTGTACACCGTCTTGGCCGGAAGATGGCCGCTTTCCACGCCGCCGTCATCTTCGTACTGCAGGTCTTCGTCCACCGCCACACGAGCCAGTCTTTCTTGCGAAGGCTCGTACGAGAGCCTCTCCTGCGAGAAGTCGAAGATTAGCCTAAGGCCCTCTAGGATGACGGCGCTGAGGTACGGCAGCTGCTCCAGGGTCGGCCAGCTTGGTAGCTCTTTTGGGTCGGGCACGTTTGCCATGACCTCTTCTCGGAGCCTCTTGGCGATATCTGGCTGTTTGACGAGGCGGTAGACTATGTTGCTCAGTGCTGTTGCCGTCGACTGGGGCCCGGCCAAGGCAGCCCCGTTGGAGTCATAGGCCAGTCGTTTGGGCGTCTTTTCGTGTGGCGGGAGGTCCGACCTGAGCAGTTCCGCAAATACGGGGCGGGTTTTGGCCTCGTCTGTTCCCCCGACTGCGATCACTCGCTTCAGCCGCTCGGGCATCTGGACATGATAGCGCAGTGGCGAGTCATAGGTGCCGGACATTGTTCGCATTATGGACCTGGCCAGCTAGGGTCAGCACAAATCAATTGGCGCCATCATCTCGGGCAAGTTTCCAATACGAACAATGGGACCCAGTAAAGCACGCGTCGAACCCAAGGGAGGTGTCTGGTGAAGTGAGATCTGGTCTCGAGGGCCTCGAAGACGTCCTTGCAGTTCGGCTGCCAGCCTTCCTGGTCGAGAAATCCCGGACTCTCCCCGTAGCAGTATTCCACGATGGCGTCGGTGGTGAAGCAGTTGAAGGCGCCGCCGGCGTCGAACCAGCCGCGCCCGCACTGCGCCAGCAGCTTGTCGCACAACTGTCGAGACCTTTGATGAACTACATCGTCTGCCCCCAACACCTTGGACTTGGAGAAAAAATTGTTGAGCGGTGTACGACGCATGCGGTGGTGACCATGTTCTATCGTCGCGACGGTAGACTAATCGACCGACCCGCTGTCAGCGTGTTTCCTCATCTGCATTGGATCCGCCAGCGCGAGATTGCACTCGCATCGCCATCGTGCTTACCAGTGACAGGCTTCACGCATGGTTTTGTCAGTTGGCTATTTCATCGGCTCTATAATAGAGGATAGGTGCTAAACATACCCTCCAAAACCCGACATTTGATGCTCCGTCTTGTTGCGTCTGCGGTTACCCGCCACCGGGTATAGGACATCGACAAAGCTGGGGTCGCTACAGTGCAACTCGTGTGGGTTGATCCGGATCAGTGGACCTGGGGAAGATTACACTGGTGAGCTCGAGTGTCTCTCAATCGCGCCAACAGCGCCAGCACGAGGCGTCTGGATGCCCACCGTATCTCTCATGGAGCTTCGCAATCTCTTCCGTGTATCTGGCGTCAAGGACGACGTCGTGCCAGAACTCGTAGAGATAGGACGCTGCCGCGAACTTTGGTCCTGGGTAGCCGGCGAGAGGGTGCAGCGTCAGTCTGTATACGTAAACGGCCACTGAGTAAAGAGCCCAGCACGCAACGGCTGAGACGAAGGCGCGCCATGCGACTGCGGTCCAGTGGACGTTGGCGTCAAGTAACATGATGCTGTTTGGAGCCTCTATCGAGTGTTTCCCAGCAAAGTCTAAAGAACGGTTGGTGGTGGAGATGCGCGTCTGTCCCGAGGCGTGGACGATGAAGACGGAAGAGGTCAAATTTGTCTCTCAGACTTGGCAATGTTTAGTGGCCGAATAGAGCAACCTGACATGCACCAAGTATGTACTTGTTACGGTGGAGGAGTTATTTTCGCCATGGCTGTCGGCTGCGCTTTTGCTACTGTTGTCCAGAGAGAGTCGATTTCATCCCGCCTCCTTGGTCTACTCTGGCTGCATTAGCTGCGTAGTACGCTTACGGCCCGTGAAGACGGACACGTTTGTTTAATAACAACACACCCCTCGCCCCTCACCGCATGTATGTAAATGGGCTGCACAATGCACCGGAAAGTCGGACAACCCCTGTTAGCTGTGGCTGCACGGCCTTAGCCGCTGCCACCCATGTCTCATGTTGAGTAGGCCTTCGCCGCAAGACATAGCGTCGACGCCGACCAGGAACCTAGTCTCTCGGGGTGTATTCATCTACAGTCCGCCAGGGTCACAAAGGATATATAGAGGTCTTGACTAGTTTCAATAACTAAAAGAAAACATTAATTACATACTTGTTTATTTTTCACTTTTTGTAGAGTAATCCATAATGGTCTAGTGGCAATAGTATTCTGGTGAAGAGGCTTAAATAGCAGGCGGTGCTATAGAGGAGTCCAGTATTAGCATGAGAATATATGCGGCTGCTAAGGCATGGCACAGCTCCCTCCTTGTGGCTACTGCTATTGATTTTGTCACCTTTTCCTCTTGTCGTTTTCCTGGCTCCAAATCGACAGTCCCAAAATGTGCTTCATTAGCACCGCCACGGGCCTCGCTCTAATACTGTCGCTGCTGCCGGCGTGGGGTGAGGCATCATCAATCGGCTCACAAGGTCAGAGACAGACGCCGTTGCTGAATGCAGCAACATGGGCGTTTACGGCTCCCAATGGTGGACCGTTCACCCGCGACTTTTCCGCCTACGTCGAGCAAGTGATGGACGAATGGAAAGTTCCCGGTCTGGCAATCGCGGTGATTGATGGCGACGACGTCTTCACACAGGTAAGTACGGTGCCCCGTGTATGTATGTGTGATACACACACGCACACACACACACACACACACACACACACATATATATAACATATATATATACGTGTGTTGCGGCTGACACCCGTCCTCGTCGACAGGCCTTTGGCTTCGCCGAGTTGCCCAATATCAAGGCAACGCCCGAAACGCTCTTCTTTGCGGGCTCGACGACAAAGGCCATGACGGCCGCGGCGCTCTCGCACATGATTGACACCAAGAACCACTCGTCCCTCGCGGGGGCCGGATGGGCCACGCCCATATCGTCGCTCATCAGAGACGACTTCGTCGTGGCCGGCGACGAGTGGGCAACGGCGCACCTGACGCTCGACGACGCCGTCAGCCATCGCACGGGCATGGCGCCGCACGAATACGCCTGGGCCCGTCGCTCCGAGAGAGGAGGCGAGCCGCTCACCATTGCGGCCGTGGTCAGGCGGCTGCGCGGGCTCAAGCTCAGCGCGGAGCCGAGGACTACGTGGCAGTATAGCCACCTGATGTATGTGGCCCTGAGCCACGTCATTGAGACGCTGACGGGCAAATGGCTCGGCGACCACCTTCGCGAGACGATTTTCGGGCCGCTCAACATGACGGCCACGTACTGCGATACGCAGCAAGCCCTTGACGCGCCCCAAAGGCTCGCATCGGGCTACCACTGGGACCAAGTCCGGCGGAGATATGGCCTTGTCGACTTTGACGACGTACGTCCCGGCAGCGGAGCCGGGTTCGTCATCTCCAACGTCGTCGACTACGCCAAGTGGATCAAGTGTCTGTTGCACGAGTCTGCGCCGTTTTCCCGGCAGACGCACGCCGACATCAAGACGCCGAGAATGATTGCCGCCCGGGAGGCCAGGTCGGGCCCGGGAGAGACGCTCTACGGCCTCGGCTGGCAGCGCAAGGTGGCCCATGGCGCCGCCGTCTACATGCACGGCGGCACCGAAGTCGCATACGCGACGCAGGTATTTTGGCTCCCCGAGCAGGGGTACGGCGTCGTGGCCATGGCCAACGTGGCGGCGCCGGGCAACGCTGCCGAGGAGACGATTGCGTGGAGGCTGATGGAGGACAAGCTGCGCGTCTCCAAGGAGGCCCGCTTCAACATAAGCGAGCAGTGAGTCGGCCAGGCGCAGTCGTCGGGTATGAGTCAAGGCCGGGTGCCCGGGCATGAGCTGACTTTGGTCTCGTCAAAGCATGAGGGCTGCCGCCGAAAAGGAGGCCCGCGACATGAGCAACGCCGTCGACATGATGTACCCGACGAGGCCCGACCCGCCTCTGCCGCCGCCGGTCCACGCGACGCAGCTGGTGGGCTCGTACTTTGACGAGGGCTACGGGGTGCTGGACATTGAGGAAGCCAAAGGCAGGGGCAAGGGCAAGGGGGCGCTGGTGGCCCGGCGCGACGACATGCTCTTCATGTACACGCTGCGATTCAAGCACGTCTCGGGCGGCTTCTGGTTGCTCGAGGTGTGGTACGACGACACGGACTCGATGGCGGCGTTTTGGGGCGGCGAGTTTGTCGTGGGCGTCGACGGCAGCGTCGCCGGGCTGATGGTGCAGCTCGGCGCCGTGCGAGGGGGGGGGCGTGTTTGGTTTGAGAGGAACCGCACCGTGCAAGCAGTCTCTCGGCGTACGCAGCAGTAGGCTCTGCATGCCGGTGTCTCACCAGTCATGTCATGCACGAACCGCCACCGTAGACGGCTGCTCTGCTCTCGCTAGCCACAGGCTGAATGAATCATGCCCATGCCGCTCGTGCGCTATTACAACTGCACCCAATTTTCGACTCTCCGCCGGGGGCCGCCGAAGAGCCCGACGACCCGCATGCCTTCCTGCCGTGCATATACAATCCGGGCCAACCGTCGATATGTAATAGTTGGCCCCTGTACGGATACGGAGGGGCCTTTCAAAGGTTGCGGCTTGGTATAAGCGGCGTACAGGGGGCTTCCAGGGAAACCCGTCGTCAGCGGTTGTGCAAAGCGATCTGAGTGCCATCAGTCCAATGATGAGAAGTTATCCAAAGAACAAAGGGAAAATAAAAGGATCTGATGCACACATTCGTGCAACAATATAGCTATACCCCGATCATTGCGGCGCAGCAGGGGCAACGATCGGGCATGAGGTTCCAGGAGCTGTGATTCATGATACGGGCGCGATTTGCGATATGCGACACACCCGGTACCGACGGAAGAGTACGGATATTAATCTTGTCTAACTTGACATCTTTATTTTATAAATCAAATCATAAGCAGGATGCGAGGGCCCCGCATCCAGTCATTATCAGCTGTATAGCCATTCCCTGTACAGAGTATTGGGGGCTATAATTGGCGGCTAGGTGAGAGCAGAGGAGCGAGGCATCGACAAGAGGACTACGGATAGTAACTTGACAAGTCGGTCGCATCCGAGGCATCCAAGGCCGAAATCAAGCCGCGCGAGCCTCCAACCCCCCCGACCTCGTAAAGGCGCCCATGCTCGTCTGCGGAGGCCCCGCGGCCGTAGGCTTCGGCAGGAAGCCAACGTCGGCCAAGAAGCGCACGCTTTTCAGCACGGCGGCCCTCAATCTCGTCGGCGACGCGCCGCTGCCGCCCGAGCGCCAGCTCTCGGCCCAAGGCTCCCTCGCCGTGTCGCCCAGGCCGTCCAACATGTGGGCGAGAGCCTGCAGCGGATGCGAGTCCTTGTGCGCGTCCATGTCGCGCCGAATGGCTTCGGCGCACACGGGCGCGTCTTGGGCGCGCAGACGGTAGCCTGCTGCCGCGACCGTCGCCCAGAATTCCCCCATGGTGAGCCCGCCCGTGATCTGCCGGACGACGGGGCCGCCCGCGCCCGGCATGGCGGCGCTCACAACCGCCGCCGCCACGGACCCGACGTCGGCCACGGGGATCCACCTGTCGCTTTCGTCGCCGGCAAAGGCGCCGACGCGCATGCACGCCGACGCCATGCGCCAAAGCCAGTCGTCGGCGTTGGCCACGCCCTCGGTCGGCGTCCCCACGACGAGGCCCGGGCTGACGACGACAAACTTGGACTCGGGGCTGCCGCCGGCCCCGCCGGCCCCGCCTCCGCCGCCGCGCCGCCGCGCCGCCGCACGCCGCACCAGCGTCTCGGCGACAAACTTGGTCTCGTTGTACCCGTTGGGGTTCGCGGCCAGATGCCGCGCCACGTCTCGCTCCGCCTCGTCGCTCGGGTCCCCGAACCGCGCGCTCGACACGTACACGAGCTTCATGTGCGGCACCTCGGCCGTGGCGCGCAGCAGCTCGGCCGTGGAGCGCACATTGGCCGCCTCCAGCGCCGCGTAGCTCTTGATGAAGTGCACGGCGGCGCCGTTGTGTATCACGACATGCACCACGCCGTCGCTGACGGACCGCCAGTTAGCCGCGTCGAGGCCGAGACGCGGCTGCGCCAGGTCCCCCGCCCACACGTCGAGCGTCCTGTCGTGAAACTCGGTCCACCACTGCGCCCTCTTGGCCGCCTCAATGGTTCGCCGCCTGGCATCGGCTTGCGTTGCGCCCCTGGCGACAGCCACGACACGCCCGACTCGTCCGTCCTCGAGCAGCTGGCGCAGGATCTGCGTGCCAATGTAGCCGTTGGCTCCCGTCAGGAGCACCGTGAGCAGCCTACCGCACCCCTTGCCCCCGGTGGCATCCGTCTCGCCCACCATCTCTGCCGCTCCCGCCTGGGCCGATGCTACGCTCAGGTCATGCCGAGCAATGTCTGCCATGATGCGGTCTGTCAGGGCAGCGGGACAGCCATTCTGGGGGCTGCAGCTCGCCCTCCTGGCCTCCGCGGTAGCCAACAGGCTCTTTATGCTCGTCGTTGCGTGCTGGAACATGTCGGCAACCTCGAGCTTGATGCCCGCATCGCGAGCCGCGCTGACAATCCTCATGGCCTGAAGCGAATCACCCCCGAGCTGGATGAACCCGTCTTCCATCCCGATCCTGTCGGGCATCACGCCGAGCACGCGAGCCCAGATGCCCTGCAGCGTCTCCTCTTGCGCCGTTGACGGAGGCAGCTTCTTGTCTCCCAGCGGCGGGGACTCTTGCTCTCTGGCGCTCTCGGCCAGCAGGCGGCGATCCGTCTTGCCGTTGTGGTCGATGGGCATCTTGTCCAAAATGGTAATGGCATGAGGCACCATGTACGACGGCAGCTTCAGCTTCGCCATGTCCTGGAGCTGTCCCTGGACCCTGGCGTCGGTCTGCTGCCCAAGGGGATGGCTGCTGAGCGATGCCATGGACCGTCCATGGTGATCGGTGGGAAACCGAAACAGCGCTCTCGGCTCGCCTGCTCGGCCGCCTTCTTTCCCGCCTCGGCCGGGGCTATGAAATATGGCGTCGAGTCCGCCGCGCTGCGAATGCTGCCGGGCCCAGCTGACGCTCACCTGGTAGCCCGCTTGCCGCGCCAGCTCCGTCAGATTAAGCGCCGACAGCGGCGACGCTTCCTCTCGCGCCTCTTGGCGCACTTCCGAGAGCCAGTTGTCGTCGTTTGGCACCTGGCGCTCCGCAGTGTCGCCGGTTAAATGGACAATCTTGTTCTCCAACACAATCTTGCTATAGGGAATGTTGGAAATGGCCACGGTTGGCGTGAGAGAGCCACGGTCCACTTCCAGGAGCCGCAATAGAGAGCATCTGTCCAGGCTGCTGGCCGCGTAGTCGACCCAGCCCGCTTGGCTGACCTCTTGAACCTGCTGCGGACAGGCGACATGCAACACGGCGGCGTATCGGTAGCTGCTGAGCTCGTTGGTGGCCTCCATCCTCTTTGGCAGTATTTCAACGTGCCTGATGCCGGGGAGGCGGTCGGGCAGGCCAGTGAAGAATCCAGGGTCCACGAGCAGCTCTGGCTCGACCCGCTGCAGGTTACCGACAATGTGTCGAAACTCGTCGAGCGTCACGTCCTTGTTGGCCATGCGCAGAGCGCGCGCGGCCAGAAACTCGCGGTGCAGGGCATATGATCGCACGTCGCCGAAGAATATGGTCTCGACGCCTTCGAGGCCGACCAAGCTGCGTATGATGCCAAAGAGGTAGTCCTGGCTTGGGAAGTATTGGAGGACTGAGTTGATGACGACTAGCTGAGGGCGACCGACGTCGTCGGGCCGCCGCAAAATGTCGTCTGCCGTGCCCTTGAAGACTTGCACCTTGCCCGCCAGGGCCGGATCCGACTTGGCCGTCTTGGCGGTAAAGTCGACGGCCTTGGACGACGGCTCCACGCCGACATAGCTCTCGAGTCCGTGTCTGGCCAAGCTGAAGAGTATCATGCCCGACCCGGTGCCGAGTTCGAGAACGCGGCCGGCCGCGCCGCCGTTGAGAATCGTCTCGATTGTATCGTCCAGCCACTCGTTCATGTCGCGGCTGTCAATCTCCTTGCCGTCGTACATGGAAGACCACCCAATGAAGTCTCGCCCGATGGCCGCGGGCGCAATAGCATCGATGGACGCGTACGTCTCTTGGTCAAACTGGCTTTCCCACGAATCCATCTTGTTTACGTGCCATTGTCTCTGCAACGCGTCGGTGTCGCTGGACTTTGTCTGGCCAGCAATGGCTTCGTCGGATCTGACTGTGACAAACGCAAACAGCCGAGCTTCTCGCCCTTTACCGTGTTGACCAAAGACTACTGCCGCCTCTTGCACGCGGCCATGGCAGCAGAGAAGGCTCTCAATCTCTCCTGGATCCACACGCTGTCCCCGGATCTTGACTTGCGTGTCTCGCCGGCCGACAAACAAGACGTTTCCGTCGTGCCCGTACCTGACCAAGTCGCCCGTCTTGTAAAGCCGACCACGGCGGCCGGGGTGGAGGGCGGACCCGAGCAGCAGCCATCGCGGGTCCCTGATGAAGGCCGACTCGGTCTTTTCCGCCTGACCAAGGTAGCCAAGCCCAACCAGCGGCCCTTCGAGGAGCAGCTCGCCGGTGCAGCCCACGGGCAGCAGCTCGTCGTGGTCATCTGGGTCCACAATCCAGGTCACAACGCCTGCTCCCCTTCCAATGGCCGTAGCCTCCATTGGGCTCGTTGCGAGATAGTTGATGATGCTGGTCGGCGTGCATTCGCTCGGCCCATACGCGTTGCAGATGCGCGCCTTGTCCCACCACGCCTGCACGTCGGCCGCACGCAGCGCTTCGCCGCCCAGCGTCAGCGTCCGTATCTCGGGCACCCGCTCCGGAGACAGGAGCTGCAACGTCGAGGGTGTGAGGTCGAGCGCGTTGACCCTCATCAGCTTGACGGCATCCTCGAGGCTGTGGATTCGCTGGTCCTCGCTGGGGACGCAAAGACAGCCGCCTGAAGCCACCATGCTGAAGATGTTGCTGATGGACACGTCGAAACTGTATCCCGCAAAGTCGAGCAGTCTCGACTGTTCCGTATGTCCCATGGCTTCGACTTGGTGATGGAGCGCCGACAGGGCATTTGTGTGCGATATCATGACTCCCTTTGGCGCCCCAGTACTCCCCGACGTGAATATGGCGTACGCCATGGACGACGGCCATGACCCTTGCTCTCGCACTGCCGCCTCGGTGACCCGTCTTTCCAACGATGCGCCGAGTACCATATCCCAATCAAGTGAAATGGTCTTGGGGGCAAGCTGCGAGCAAAGTTGATGCCTCGACGGGCACGTCACCACCACGCCGCTCTTGACTTGCCGCATGATGGCGCGAAGACGATACAGCGGCAGCCGTGGATCGAGCAAGATGAAGCTCGCGTTGGCCTTGAGGACGCCAAAGATGGCAACGGCTGCCCACATGGACTTGTCAAAGCACAAGGGAATCAACGTCTCCGACGTGCCGACGCCGGCTTCTGCTAGCACAGCTCCCACCCTCGAGGACAAGTCGTCCAGCTCGCGATATGCCAGCTCCCCGTCCCAAGCGCAAATTGCGGGAGAATCCGGTCGAACCCTGGCTTGGTTGACCAGCAAATCCTCGACACGGCCATCGACCCCTTCAGGGACGCATGCGTTCCACTGCCAAATCTGATCTCGGGTCTCCGAGGTCACCAGATCAACATCGCTCAAAGTATCTGCCTCGGAGGCGTGGCTTAGCTGGTGCATGGCCGACTCGAGCTGGGCCAACATCTGGCTCACTACCCAAGGCTCAATCACCCTCGAGTCAAACATGGCAGAGGCCAGGATCCCGTCGGGGCCCAGCCAGACCTCGAGCGTCAGCGCGTACGTGCTGAACCATTGTTCCTGGCTGCCGCTCTTCCACTGGCCCAAGACTCCGTCGCCGCTGCAATCGTCCTCGGGCTGGATGACGACGTGTGTCTGAAACCGGCACGCCTTTCGGCCCTCGGGACACGTCGACGCGATCCTCGGGAGCCCGGTTTGCTCAAAGGGCATCATCTCGGCCGCCTCTTGCTGTATGGTCTGAAGATAGTGTGCGACAGTCTGTTCCTTTGAGAACCTGACGCGCACCGGCACTGTCGCAATTGTCGGTGCAGCCATGTTGTCGAGCCCCCCGACGGCGGCGTTGCGCCCGTACAGGGTCGAGCCAAATAGAACGTCGTCGGAACCGGTCATTTTACCCACGACGAGTGCCCAGGCGGCGCGAATAAGCAGAGACACCGTGATGCCCCTGCTGCAAACCCTGGGACCCGGCATTAGACGCTCCTCGACAGCGTCGGCGACGGGGTCTTGGGTCGAGGATGCCGACGACGGGAAGGGAGCGCCGTCGAATCCTTTGAGCGCATGCTGCCAATATCCTGCAGCTTTTACATCGTCTTGCTCTTGGACGTACTTGATAAATGCCTGAAATGGGGACGGCTCGTCAATGACTTGCCCCTGGTATGCCTTGACAACGGCGTCCTTGACGAGCCGCATCGACCAGCCGTCGTATATGGCGTGATGGACTGTCCATACGAGCCACCTTGGCCCGCCCGACTTGTCCCGAACCAGTGCGTAGCGCGAGAGAGCATCTCCCAGATCCATGGACCGCTCTCTATCCTGATGTAAATACCGGTCTAGCCCAACTGTTTCTGTCCACTGGGCTCTGTCGTCGAGCACCAGTTGCAGTAAGCCAAGGTTGCCGCCCTGCGCCAGCCGCGTGCGGAGTATAGGCTGGGCTTGGATCGTCTTGTCCCACGCTCGTCGCAGGCGGTCGACCGAGATGTCCGAGGCGAGTTCTAGAACGCTTTGCTCCATGTAGTCGCCCGGCCTTTTCGAAGTGAGGAACATGAGACCCTCCTGCAGCCGCGTGCAAGGGTAGGCATCTTGTATTGCCGACGGATCTAGGTTATACTTGGTGGCCATGGCGCCGACAAGAGAATCTACATGGACGTCGTCTCCGAGCAATTCAAAGGCAGCCATGGGCTGGATGCAGAGGTCGAGCAGCGCATGACAGTGCTTTGCCAAGTCGTGCAGTACCGGGTGATGAAAGATGTCCATGACTGTCATCTGCAAGCCGAGCCTACGGGCGTCGGCCGCAGCCTTCATGGAGTGAATCGAGTCTCCTCCGAGATGGAAAAAGTTGTCGTCGAGCCAAACTTCAGCTGCTGCGAGACCAAGCACTCGAGCCCAGATGTCTCGGACACGCAGCTCCATTTCCGAAGACGGCTGTCGCTTCGAGCGGTGGCCGTCGTGGCCGCTTGCCCGTGCTGCGGCGAGCTGCTCGGGCGAAAACGACGAACCGAGCTCTCTCAGGCTCTTGCGGTTCATTTTCCCCGTCGGCGTCACGGGGAGCTTGGCCATCCAGAAGAAGACGGTCGGTACGATGTAAGACGGCAGACGGGCGGCGAGGGCGGTCCGAGTCTCGGCCGGCACGGCGCGTATCTCGGCGGCACCCGGATGATGGGCAGCGTCGTCGCTTGCTTTACCCCGAGACTGAATAAACACTGCCAGCGTAGGGCTGGCATTGTCAGATCGGGGCACAATCACCTCAGCGACAACCTGGTGGGCATCCGAGACGCAGCTTCGCACCCAGTGCTCGATTTCGCCGAGGTCGAGCCTCTGGCCACGGATTTTGACTTGCACGTCCTTCCGCCCAACGTATGTGAGACTGCCATCTTGGTTGTACCGGACCAAGTCCCCCGTCTTATACAACCGACCTTGGCGCCCCGAATAGCCCGGAACACCCCGGACCAGCCAACGGGGGCTCTGCACAAAGGCTCTTGCGTTGTTGGCCGGGTCGTTGATGTAGCCGCGGCCGACCAGGGCGCCCTCGATGAGAAGCTCGCCGACGCAGCCTACGGGAGCCAACCTGTCGTGATTGTCGGGATCCACGATCCATGCCGACACTCCCAGTGCTGGCCCGATGCGGGTGGCAGCCTCGGGGGTGGGCGCATCGCGATTGACCGTATTGATGGTGCACTCGGCCGGCCCGTACTCGTTGACAATGTCAAGCTTGTTCCACCAGCGGGCCACGTCGTCGACAGAGAGAGGCTCGCCGGTAAATATCATGGTTTTCAAAAGAGGCACCGCTTCCGGGCTTATGAGACGACTTACGGACGGCGTCACATGGGCAATCGTCACGCCCATGTCCGCCATGGCCCCCGAGATGTCATTGTGACGTGCCTGGTCGGACGGTATGCATAGGCAGGCGCCTGAGGTGAGTGTCGCAAATACATTATGGACCGAGACGTCGAATGCGTAAGACGCAAAATCGAAGACGCGCGAGTCTCTGGAGAAGCCCAGGGGCCGCAACTGGTGATGCAGCGCCGAGGCGTAGTTTGCGTGCGTCAGAATGGCTCCCTTGGGCTTTCCTGTGCTTCCCGAGGTGAAGACGGCAAACATGGCCGAGTCGGATGAATGACGGGTATCGTGACTGGCATCCTCCTGGCCGCTTGTTTCCTGTGGACAGGAACCGAGAGAATGCCGGTTGATGACGACTGCCATGTCGAGAAGCCTAGAACAGAGCGGCTCGTTGGCGGCTGAACAAAGCCCCAGACTGGCATTGACCCCTTGCACCATGGCCAGGAGACGCTGCTCTGGAAAAGATGGCTCGAGCAAGACAAAGGCGCCGCCGGCCTTGAGCACGCTCATCATGGCCACGGGCATCCACATGGACTTTTCGAAACACAGGGGCACGAAGGTCTCATTGGCTACGCCCATGGCAACGAGGCGTGCTGCCAGTTGCGTCGAGAAGCGATCCAGGTCTTGGTACGTCAACTGACCATCCCATGCGTCCACGGCCAGAGCCAGTGGCTGGCTCAAGGCCATGTCGTGGAACACTTGGTGCATGCATCGATCAACGGGAGGCGGAAGAGAGCCGTTCCACGCCCAGATCTGCTCCAGATCGTCTCGAGTCAACAAGTCTACTTCCGACAGACGCCCAGCAGGATCCGCCTCGTGGAACTGGTGGACCAACAACTCGAGGCGTTTCAACAGTTTCCCCAGCACCCATGGCTCTAGAAACCTCGAATCGAACCTTGCCTCGACCTCGAGGCGCGCTTGGTGCTGTTGAATGTCGAGCACCAACGCGTAGCCATCGAGATGTTTCTGCACCCCCTCGTCGTCACCGGCAGCCGACGAGGCACCCGGGCCCAGTCTCGCGGGGGCGCCGCACCGAGATAGAACCAAGGTGCATGGCATCTGTCTTTCTCCGCTGACGGAAGCTGCCGGCGTGCCAGTGTTGTTTGGATGCTGGAACTGCGTCCATCCTTTGTCTGGGGCTCTTTCTGCCTGTGCCTGGATGGACTGGATGTACTCGGCAACCGTCTGGTGTGCCACGCAGTTTGCTCGCAGCACGGTCTGCTCTACAAGCACGGTATTACCCAGGAGCCCCGATTCCCCACTACTTGGTGATTTTGCGGTCTCAAGACGCCCAACGCTAAATTGGATCTTGTCAGAGTCGGTCATCCGGCTGGCCACCATGGCCCAGGCGGCGCGTATCAGGGTCTTGACCGATGGGGAACGGCAATGCGGCGTGTTGCTCCAATCTGATGGCCATGAAAGCTCGCACTGCATCGTCTCGTCAAGCAGCAGTCCATCAATGGAGGTTGGGACAACAGGAAAGGACAGGAATTGTCCATGTGCATCGTCGTCGTCTTGACCAGAGACTTCTCCTGGTGGCGTGTCCAGTATCGTCTGCGATCCGGGACGCGAGCTCTCGGTCGACTCGTCTCCGTCTTGCGTGCTGTCTGAGGCAGTATCATGGTGACTGCTATCAGATTCCCCATGGCCGCCGTCCAGCTCGCATTGGGCCACTGTGGTGAAACTCATGTTTGCGCCGACTCTGCTCAGGGAACTCGTTGTCTCTTTGATAAAAGCCACGAGCCAACGAGTTCTGGTTGAGATGGTCTGCTTCAAAAAATTAAAACTACAAGACAAAATAAAATCTGTCTGCCGTGTGCATCAGCAGTAAAGGTGCAACAAAATGTTCAACTGCAGAGAAAGGTTCGGACGGTCCGTCGGTCCCCCGACGTGCCGTATGTTTGGCTGCATCTTCAAGACATGAATCTGGGCTGGGTGTGGCAGTAGTGGTGGTGTAGTTGCATGGGCCATATGCGGCTATGGGCTGCAGGCGTGCAAATAGCGATGCTGGCCACCACCTCCCGCTCCCACTGGTCTCCCCTTTGACAGCAGGGGATGCAGTCAAGTTGCGTCGGCGGCCCTTGGACGCGCCAAACGAAGGCGCAGACGTCAGCTCACCCAGGGGGACGGGGCTAGCCGAGGTGAGAGTCCAGCTATCCGTACAAGCAAGCACGGCTGCAAGCAACACGCCTCTGCCGTGTAGCGTCGTCATCTCCATACTAGTAACCGCCTGGCGAGATGATATTAGCATTGCCCTCTGCATCGAGACTTGCCAGACGGCGGTGATGGCTGTGGCGGGCACGTCGTCCCCAGCGCATTAGCCATTCATTTACGTCTCTATTCTATAGTATGGACATGAGTTAGCGTAAAAGGGGCAGAAACAAAAAAGGCGATTTTTAGTAAAATAAAAATATATAGATATTAGAGCAAGGTGTAGAGCGGCTTTGTACTGTCCCATGAAGCCATCTGCATCTACCATCAACTCTACCGAGTGGTCCATTGAACCACACGTCTCTCTTCTCCCGCCCATGCCAGTGGCAGGGCAACCTGCCCGCCCGCCTGGCTGCGCATCACCACCCACCCCGCGGCTTGGCCACTGGGACAGGCAGACGCGTCAATATGTGCGGACGAGCTTCTCCTGGTTATACTCCCACGCCGTCATGTTCTCGTAGCGCGGCTCCTCGCCATCCCGCAACAGCTCGCGCCGGGAGCCCACGGGCTGAGCGCGACTGGGTTTGCCAAAATAAGCAATCGAGTACCTGTCGTCCACCCAGGCGTCCTGGTCGTCGGGCAAGACGACGCGGTGGCTCGCGGAGCGGAAGCCGTCGTTGGTCCAACGCTGTAGGCAGTCGCCGACGTTGACAATCATCTCGTCGGGGCTCTCGCGGGGCACGGCAAAGTAGCTGCCCGGCTGTCTCTGGTCTTCCACTTCCAGGCCGCCGACCGAGTCCTGGAACAGGAGAGTCATAGTTCCAAAGTCGGTGTGCTCGGATATGCGTCTCGCGCCCCTGCCCATGGCTGACACGGGGCCCCCGGGGTAGTGGTTGAGGCGCATCTCTGACGAGTTGGGCTCGCAGAGGTCGAGCAGAAACGTCGCGCCGAGACCGAGGCCCATGGCCAGGGCCCGGAGGATGTCCTGGTGGGCCTCGTGGCAGCGCTGGTAGAAGCTGCTGGCGGTGGCCCGGAAGCCGGGCACGTCGTCCTCATCGGGCCACCGGTTGGGATACAACTCGTCGACGGCCGGTCCCTGGTCATATGATTCCTGTCTTGTGCGTGAGCAACAAGGTAGACAAGACAAGCGACAGATATGGCGCAAACCAAAAACCATGCGGCCTCGGCCAGCATCGTGCCATGGACGAAAGAGCGCCCTCCCCGAGTGAGTACACCAGAGAGAGAGAGAGAGGGTGCATCATTACCTTGACGTCGAACACATCCAAAACCTCGCGGCTGCCCTTTTCGTAGTCCTTGACCATGGACAGCTTCTCCTGGCCGACGTAGCTGTAGCCACGATGCGGGTTGGGCTCGGGGGGGTGGGCTGCCTTTTCCTTGGCTTCGGGCGCGAGGCGGAAGAAGCGCCTGTTCTAAGCGCAGAGGACGTCAGTGGAGCCGACAATGATGAGCTGCCGCCGCCGCTGCTTGCTGCAACTACCGCACGCTTCCTCTCCGAGGGACGAGTCTCACAATGTCAAACGCTTGACGGATTTCGTCGCCGCCGATGCCGTGGTTAATCAGCTTGACGAACCCGACCGTGGCGAGGCAGCCGACAAGCTCCTCGCAGAGCCGAGCCCGCACCTTGGCGTCGTCGCTGAAGAATCGAGCAAAATCGACGGTGCGCACGCCCGAGCCGTATTTGCCCGTGTCGAGGCTGCCCATGATGTGCGTTTCGAGACGTTTCGAGACGTTCGAGACGGGTGCCGGTGGAACTTGTCGCACAGCGCGTGCCGCTGTCCAAGGGCCGTGCACGCCCTGGGCTGGGCTGGGCTGTGGAAACGTGGAAAAGCTCTGGAGACCTGTGGAGGGGTGGATGGGTGGAGGGGTGGAGGGGTGTGGACTTATATGCCTGTGTGGCTGACCCCTGCAATCAGGGCTGGCGGCTACACCCAGGGCTCGCGCAGTACGTACCGGTAAATCTGCCCTACACCCTTGGCGTGCAGCCTGCCCCGGATTTTCAGCAGGGGCTTCCTTCCTTCAATGCACCCATCGGCCGACTTGTGACGAGCCGCTAATATATAACCACGACAGCTTCGCTGGGGAGTTTCAGCTGCTCCCCTGCATTCGGCCAAGTGCAATGCGACTGACCGACTATCCGTCCATCTGCTTGGGATCGTCAATCCGCGGCTGCGGGCCGCCAGTGACGGCTCGTGCCGCGACCACTACGAGCACGACCTAGTGGTACCACCTATACGTAGTAGGATCTTGCGTGTAACGCGGTGAAAGATGCATCGTAGTTAAGCCTCGCATTCAACATCATTCAGAGGAGCGTACCCATTTTTGCAACTTGAACCAAAAAAAAAACCAGGCGTGCAGCACAACAAAGACCGAACAGTACAAACGCTAACGTAGTCGATCAAGATTAGTTCAGGTCTTTGGCTGGCGCGTTGCGCATGATAATCGGATATTTTTCTAGCTTACAACTATCAAAATGCGTGAGAAAGCCAACCGTGCATGACCATGCGTACTACTGTGCCGTCATGTATGCATGCCAGCTGGCATTGTGATATGATGCGAGGACCTGAATTGACTTGGCGAAAAGTGAACGGCAAGAGAAATGCCATGTTTGCGGTGGAGACGACGTCCCCAGGGGCTAATCGCGTCGGCAGAATCAATCCGTTGCCTACAGTGATGTGTGCCTAGTAACGTCCAAGACACATGCACGGCCATCCTCTAAAAAAGAAAAAGTATAGTTAGAGTACCTATTACGTTATTATCGCAAAATAAGAAGAGCCTCGCTTCCTACTGGAACCACCACCAGGCTAGGCATAGCATAGAATTAGGTATGTTAGGCACTTGCGGACACGGCAGAGCAGACACGGCAGAGCGAGACACGGCACATCGAGCCAAGGAAGCCAAACCAGGCATAGTACCTCTCACAAAGAGAGCAGGGCACATGGCATAAACGGGACTATTGGAACAGTAGAGTAGCTTCGGCTGCATTCGTGTGTTTATTCTTTTTCTGTGTCTCCCTCTCTGCTCCACTCTCCCACTTATCACTTATGCCCCTTGCCCTGCCTCTTCTTCTGTCTTCTTGCTTGCTGAATTGATAATTAATAAATAATTACCCCTCTCTCCACGTCAGCCTGCCACGCGTCCCCTCTGTTTCACACAGTCTCGTCCCTACACTTTCGGCATCAGGCTTCAGGACCAAGTCTTGGACCCTTCTTCTCGACACACCCCCTTAGCTGTCACATATCCCTGGCAGAGGGAACAGATACAACCAGACCCACAAGGGCAACTTCAGTTGAGCCGGTAGTGTTCGTGTAGGTGGTGAGACAGCCTCATTCGGTTTTCCCTACAGGCCTTGATCTTGTCCTTTGGCTCCTCCAGCCTAGCCTCCAGTCTCAACCTTTCCCCAATCTCTTCAAGCCCAATCAGCCCAAGGAATTCTGCTAGCTTCTGCTTTGGAAGAGCTTTTGTCAATCCATCGGCTCGCATTTCAGCTGTTGGAACCCAACGAGGGCGAATTCTGCTTCCTTGCACTTCCTGACGTAGCCAGTGTTGATGTATATCAACATGCCGTAGCCTGGTTGACAACTTCGGACTTCCTTCTTACAGGAGCCTTATAGTCTGCGGATTGCTGGTCAAGGCGCTGCACCGATACAGCACATTTTGTAATGCACACAACCCCCGCGCCTACGTCGCGCACTGCAGAGAGCTTTTGGGGGCAGAGTTCAATGAGGCCATGGCCATACGTAAGGCGCAGTGCATTAAGCGCCTTGGCGTCGTTGAGACCTATGCGCTTTCAAAGGAGGCCATCCTCGCGCATTTTCTGCTGTGCCCGTTCCCCCTCTGGGCTTCTTGGTCCACCTTATCCCACGGTGCAACCATCTCATCCTACTCTTCGGGCTCGTGCTCTGCATCTTCCGATTCTGTCCGGTCTAGAACTATCGAGGGTGTAGGGTTGGCACGCTGGTGTGGTGACCCGGCAGCCTCGTTGTCAGCCTTTATGGTTATCGGGTGACGAGGCGGGCTGGTCACCCGTAGGGTCGCCGGCAAGCTCATGCTCATCGGCGCTTGGCGATGGCTTCATTGCCATAATCCTCATACTTGCGGCCCTTTGAGCAGCGTAGGCGCATGTGGGTTAGGTTGGCCGCATTAGGCTTCTTCTTGCCTACAGTGAGGGCCGGGCGAATAGCTTCAAGTTGGCGATACTTGGCAAGTAATGCAATACTACAGAGTATGTTGAAGGAAAGGGCGAGGTAGGCGCGGGCTTGTGCGCATACACAACGTGCGGTATCGGCGCAGCGCCTTGACCAGCCACACTCTATCCACTTTTTGGTCTGCCGGTTATTCGAGGCCATGTTGTATTATGTTACGTCTTTTTTTTCTAACAAATCCTTTCAGTACGTTTACTTGGTTTTTGCAGGTGCTGGCTGGCTCTTTTGTGTCTTTTCGAATCGTGGGCGTGACTGGTCGGCCACCCCTAGTTCTCGGCCACCTTCACACCAGCTTCAACACCACAACTTACCCACGCCCCAACCGCATTTGCACAAGCCCTCGTGTAAACAACCGACCGTGGCTGGTGGGATTGCACTGCTAGTTATATATAGTAGTAGTAGTGGTAGTAGTAGTAGTAGTGATGACGGCAGTAGTAGCAATACTTTGGCCTCGATATCGACATCAATCCTCATCCTGCTAATGGCAGTCCCCTCGCCGGGGACCAACCATGAAAAACGACGCAACAGAGGTCATGGCCGACATGGCCGCAAACGCGACGCCCATGTTCAGGAATCCAAACTGAGATCGCAGTGCGCCAGCCAAGATGGGCCCGATGCCCAGCCCGGCAAAAAAGTACATCGAGTTGAACCCAAACAGCTGCGCGTACGGCCCGTTGACGCCAAAGAGTTCCGGGTTGGCCGACTCGTATTTGCCAACGATGTCGATGGCCTCGACAAACGCCGGGGAGCTGACGGCGGCGAGGCCCACGCCGTTCATGGCCAGCGCCAGGCAGAAGAGGGAAATGTTGTTGTACTTGCCCGAGACGACGTGCTGGCCGGGCAGCCCCAGCAGCACCAGACAAGGGGCCAGATATAGGTAGCCCAGGGTCGTGACGGTGCGGGTGCCGTACCGGTCCACGGCCTGGCCGGCAAGGCGACCCAGGGCCAGGTACGGCGTCATGAGGGCCGTGAAGATGAGGCCTACCTGTAGTGATGAAAATCCAAACAGGGATTCAGCCTCGATCGGCACTGTCGCGTCGAGAGCCCCGATAAGGAGAGCCTGCACCAGCGAGAGAGTCATGGCCACGTGAAGCCTAGGCTCTCGGAAGCAATGCAGGATTGGCAGTGTCTTGAATATGCCAACTACGTCGCCACGGATCTTGTACCTCTCTTGATCTTGGTCGCCATCATCGCCGTCATCGCCGTCATGGTTGGCGTCGTTGGCGTCGTTGGCGTCGCCGGCTGGCAAAAGTCGATCGGTCTCGCTGGCATCGGCCGGATCGCCCCGCGACGACGCGCAAAGGCCACCGCCATACTTGATTGCCGTCTTGCTGTCCACGACGAGTAGACGCATAGCAAAGTCGACGACCAGGAGCGCCGCCGAGATGCCAAAGATGCCATGGGTGCCGGCCCACTCGTAGATGACGCCGCCCGCCATGGGCGCGACGAGTTCACCGGCCGAGATGGTGGCGAATATCTAATCAAGCGAAAAGGTGCCGGCCAGGTTAGCCAAGGTCGACGACGGGCGTCAGGAGCGGTCAAGAAGAGAAGAAGGCGAGGAATACCGTTCCAATGGCCTCTCCGATCTGGCCAGGCGGGACGGTGTCTTGGACCATGTCAAGCCCGGCCGTCCAGACAATGGCAGTCGACATGCCCTGGAGAAGCCTCGAGGATAGGAGGATGGTGAAGCTTCCGGCGAAGGCAAACGCGGCGCTTGACGCGCAGAGAAGCGCCAAGCCAGCGAGAAACAGGCGTCGAGAGCCGACCCGGCTGGCGCTCCATCCAGCCGGAAGGGGGAACAAGACTGACGATGCCGAGTATACGGCGAGCAGGCCCGATGTGTACGGCTGGAGCTGCTCGTCGGGCACGAGGAAGCGGTCCCGCAGCAGAAAGGGCAGCACGGGAACCACGATGCCGTACAGCACGAGGTCGGTAAAGAGCCCAAAGGCTACCGTGACGATGACAAAGGAGGGCTTGGAGCGCCATCCGACGCCCCGGGGCTGGGTCTGGGAAGCCATGTGCTCGCCAAGTCAAGAAAATCTACTTGTCAACACTAGGGAGGCACCTTTTTCTTTGCATCTCAATTCGTGTGTTGGTGTAATTAGTTGATGCCTGATGGAGCTTTTTTCTGGCCCCGTCCAATTCTTTCCCCCTCCTTTCATTGTTATTTATTCATCTATTTTGCCTGCTTTTTTTATTGCATAAGACAGTCACTAGTCAAAGTCGTGCCCGAGCACACATTTATCATTTATTAGCCGTCAATCTCCAAACGAAAACGGCTTGACTCGATGCATCTCGCGGCTCTCTCTCTCGTGGCCCCCACGCCGCTTTGTTTCCCACGTCATGGTAGTCTCACTGCTAGGGGCACGCCCGGGGCGGTACATGAGTCTTGTACGTATTCAGTCGGCAGCACAGTTTATTAACGCATCTGGCTGCCTGCCTGTCTGCACTTGATGTTTGATGTGCACGGCGGGGCCGAGACTCCATGGAGGCTTGTTGCTCGATTCAACCTACGGTACGGTGGCACATGCAAGCCAATGCCGCCGACGGACGACAATCTACGCCAATCCCTGGGGTCGCTTTCCGCTGCACGCCGCTCCTCCGACTGTCACCGCCGGCAGTAATTACTCGATACCGTGTGCAGGGTGCTGTCGACGATACGGGGCACCGCCCGACACCCTCGGAGACACGGAGACTCGTAGACTCGGATGGCTGCTTTGATGCACGACAACAGCAAATCCCCAAGTCTCGGAAAGACGTGCTCGTCGAATGGCTGTTGCCCATGTTGCAGCACGCCCCCTCCCAGTTGCCCGGATTGTACGTCATCTAACTTACACGGGCTTGTTTGGTTGTTCCCGCCCAACATCTTCATCGCAAAGCTGGCTGCAGGGCCATTTATTCATATAGTAGCGGTCTTGTTTTCGTTTCTGTCCCCCCCCTCCCTTTCTTATCTATTTATGTAAACGTGTCTATTTGTTTCGCTTCACGTATTCCATCACATTGCGCCCAAACCAACGTAAGCGCCTAAACAAAGATATTCCATCGCGTCGGTACCGCTCCCGCCGCTGCATCCTGTCCCTTCATCATGGCCATGGACCCGGATGGGACGACGAGCCCAAGCTCTAACACCATGGAGCTCCGGCTCGCCTCTGGCAACGGCCCCGTGACTCGGACCGTTCTCCGATCGCCCGTCCGCGACGCCGAGCCGTCCGAGATCCCCGTCATTGACCTGTCGCGCCTCTTCAGCGACACCCTGGCGGACCGCGAGGCCGTGGCCAGCCAAATACACGATGCCGCATCCAACATGGGATTCTTTTACGTCAAGAACCACGGGATACCTCTCCAGGAGATCCGCGGCGCCTACGAGGCCGCCTTGGACTTTTTCCGACAGGGCCCTGCGGAAAAGATAAAGGCGGACGCGACCGAGGGCCCCTATGATAGCGGCTGGCGGGGCCCGCGGACGCAGCGGGTGAATCCAGATGAAGGCGTTGACGTCCGCGAAACGTACAGCGTCTTGTACGAAGCGCGTCTCGATCCCACAGTCGAGGCCGCCGCCAGCATTCCCCACGAGGCAGCTCAATACATTGGCCAAGGAAAACCTGCGTTTGAGGGAACAGAGCAGGTGCCGCAGCTCAAGGAAAGTCTCGAGCGGTACTACAAGTCATGCCTGGCCCTCGCGCGAGCCTTGACGAGGGCCTTTGCCCTGTCTCTGGGCCTCTACGAGGACGCCTTTGACACCAAGGTGCAGTATCCCGACGCCTCGCTCGAGGTTAATTTTTACCCGCCCCTCGCCCAGGGCAGCGACAGCAGCAGCAGCAACAGCGCCCGGAGGGAGCCAAAGGATGCCGACTCTCGCATCTCCATCGGCTCGCACACCGACTTCCTATTCTTCACCATGCTCTGGCAGGACGACGTGGGCGGCCTGCAGGTGCTCAACCACGAGGGGCAGTGGATAGCCGCGAAGCCTATCGAGGGCACCCTCGTCGTGAACATTGGCGACTACATGCAGCGCATCACAAACGACAGGTACGTCAGCACCGTGCACCGCGCCAAGAACTGGAGCGGCCGCGAGAGGGTGAGCATGCCGTTCTTTTGGGGGTTTGGCCTGCACGAGAGCTGCAGGGTGCTCGAGGGCTGTCTTGGAGAGGGCGGCACGACTAAGTATGAAGAGATCCGGTGCGTGAATTGGGTGGCGAGTAGGCTCCGCCACCTGTTTGACATGAGCAATGGCATGTCATGAGTCGGGGCATCTAGCTATATAGGTTGTGTCAGGTAACCGTTATGCCAAAGCAAAAGTGTAGGCCTACACGTAGTTCTCAAGGGCGCCGATTGGCCACTCCACTTCTGCCTTGAGGAACGAAAGGCCTTAGGCAACGACGTCGGTCAAGGTTGCGACGAGCGTTGGCATGACGCTGACGGCTCTCTTTGGCCGAGACTCGGCCCCGCCCCTTGACATCACGGGCTTATACGTGACCTTTTATAACCAGGGCCGCATCTCGACCATGATAAAGCTCGAGGCCCTGGCGTCGGTGCGCTACGCTAAGAAAAAGGCGATTGCGACGATACCGTTTCCAGGGGCGGCCTTTAACGTCACCGGTATCGCCACCATCGGGCCGGCGTTCCGGCTCGACGACAAAATCGACGTCGGGATGACCGTCTCGGCCGAGTTCGAGACCAACATTGACATTGCGTCGTGGCAGATTCGCCAGACCATCCCGGCCGAGGACGGAGCGCACGAGCCTAAGCCCCTAGACCAGCCCGACTACGACAAGCCGGGCGGCTAGAAGGGGATCTAGAAGCCCAGGGTCTACGCGGGAGTCGTGGCAGAGGGCGATGCGTCGGCCTATATCATTGCCTCGGTCGACTTTATGATCCGCTTCCACGACCGGTGGAGGATGGCTGCTGCGTCTATCGTCGCTAAAGGCTGGCTCATATTCAAGCTGGCTGCGGGCGCGACCAACCAGGCGACCTCCCCTTTCTCTACGGCATGTCGGTTGGCGCAGGCCGGTGTGCCCAAGTTGAGGCGCCGGCCATCTTCAAGTGGCCGAGCCAAAAGTACGACCTTCCCAGCCCCAGGCCCAAGGACGTCATTCAGCGCGGCACCTGTCCGGACCTTCGCGGGGGCGACCCGAAAAAGCGCAGGCGGGCAGTGACCCCCGGGCTCAGCGCGCCCTCAGACGTAATGCTCCTAGATGTCGGCAACGCGCCTCAGCATCACCAGCTGACTAGGCGGTCAGGGGACTGGGGCCCCCCTTTCTACATACCCTTGCCGGACCCCATCTGCCCGGACGCCAATTAGGGAGAGGCCGGCACCGAGTGCTCCGACATTACCGGGTAGGACGATGAGGAGACGGCACCGGATAACGAAGCGTCAACGTGCTGGAAAAGCGAGTCCGGAAAAGACCTATAGGCACTGCCTTATGCGAGAACACGCAAGACGGCGGCCGCGGCCGCGGCGACATGATATACCGCGCCCCAGTCTACCACACTTCGGGCACTCTAGTACGTTGTCGAGACGCAGGCCAATAAATCAATCTACTGACGGATTAGCTTAAAAACTGTCCCAACTATCGTGTCCACAGCTACAAGGATAGGTCTAGCCTTAATGACTTTCGCTTCGAGTCGCTAGATCTATCGTGCGAAAAGCCAGCCAACTACCAAACCAAGTATGTTCTCGAGATGCAGCTCCAGGGGCTATTCTTTCACGACCTCGTCGCTAAGCATAGAGTTAATACCCTGAAAGACCGAACCCTAAAAGGCAGGGGGTGGGAGGTAACGTTCTGTGGCTTTCTTAAACCCTTCTTGTATCAGGTAGACGTGGATTACAGAGTCACAGTCGACAACGAATCTGCGGGCTGCCAGACGGCGACTGCTGCGCTTGACCTTGATGCTAGTCTGCTGCCTATCGAGGCGGGTCTCGACGGCTCTTGCATAGGGTGAAGTGTTCGGTCCATCAGACGGCCGGTGTTGGGAGGGGTTGACGCCAGCCGTTCAAGCTCCATGTTGGTCTGCCGGTATAGCTAGGCCCCATCTTTCTTACTGCTTGCTTTTCCGTCTTAGGAAGCCGCACGAGCTGGCTACGTGAGTGCCTAGGTCTGGCTAGGCACTAACTATGGTCTGCTAGGAAGGGCCCGAGGCAGTTGTCGCACCTCTGCGGGCAGTCATAGTCGTTACCGTTATAGTCTTTTCCTCCGCAGCGTCGACACGCTTATCTTCGGTTATTCTCAAGCAGTGGCTTGAGAGCACAGTGGAAGAAATAGGGGCACAGAAAGGTGAATTTAGTGATGCATGTCTTCGTCTATCTATTGGGACAAGGGAGGGGCTTATATAGGTACAGTGACCACACATAGCTAGCCAAAAGAGGGCATTAGGATGTTCCTATACCTAAGTTAGGCCTATATAATGTCCTTAGGCTAGGGGAGTTATGTTGTTTAGGTAGGCTTCCTTGTGCATGACTATTGGGTCCACTAAGCATGACTGTGGCCTCTTATGCCTACTCTCTCTCCTTAACACACCCCCTTGCCACCCTAGCTTCTAGATAGTGGGGCAATAGGTAGAGGAGGGTTCGGTCTAATAAATATAAGGTTATTCCGATGCTAAATTCGGCTGCTTTATTGTCTGTTTAAGGAGGTTATCTAAAAATAGGGGAGGCTCCTGATTATATCCTGCAAAAAAGGGAAGGTAAATGCAGCAAAAAGCAAAAGCCGGGACCTAGGGGAGAGGATGCAGGGAGAAGCCCCCTATTTCCTCTCCCCTTAGGTCCCTAAGTTCATTGCCCGCGCCCCCCCTAGGGCGTGGTCACACAACCTGCTCTTCCGCCCTAAGGGGAGTCGAACTTACTACGATTAATAGGGTCATATAACCTGCTCTTTACCGTTTAACTAGTAGTTATAAGTTATATTTATAACCTTTCTTATAAGGAGGGGCATAGCGGGGCATCCCTTTAGGTGGCCTAGGTACCGTAGTACCTTTACCGGCGACGTTGTTATTTAGGATAAAAGTAATCCTAAAGGTAGGCTTTCTAATAATATATTCCTTATATTAATTAGTCTTAATTTAGTAAAGCTATCGCGATTATCGTAAGTTTAAGCGCTATCGTATTATACTAATTAAGGGGTAGTCTAGTAATAGCTTTACTTCTTAGTAGTAAATAGGGCTAACTTCTACCCCCTAGATCTTTATAGTTTCTTAACTAAATTAAGATCTAACTACGCCGTTAGAATCCCTTAATCTTAGTATATATAGTAGTACTCTTATTATCGAGTTCGCTATAGTAAGGAGATATTACGCCTTAATATAGTAGTTAGGTATATTATCTCTTAATATATCTTCCGGCCGTATTACTAGTCCTAGTTACTTAATAAAGCTTTAATGCTTCTAGTATATAAGCCCCTTCGTTATACTATTAGCTAGGCTATCTATTAATGCGATCTAGCTAACTTATATTCGATCTTACTATACCTCCTAATAAAGCTAGTATTTATAAACGTTAACGTGCTTAAGGTTTATTTTAAGCTTTGCGCTTAATTTAGTTAGAAGCCTAATAGTCTAAAGGTTATTATACTAGAGCTCTATAGTCCCTTTAATACTAATACTAAGCTCCTTAATTAGCTGGCCGAATACTACCTATTCCTTAGCTATTTATAAGAGTACTAATAATTTAGCTTTTATAGAGGACGTTATTATAATAGCTTACTTAGTAGCTTTCTAGTTAATTAGCCTACTAAGGAGTAGGAATATATATCCTTATAAGGACTTCCTAGTCTCTAGGTTATCGGCGTATAAGGAGTTAGATATATATATTAGCCGCCTTATTAAGTTTATCGCTATAAAGTAAATATAGCGGTTTCTCGTATAATAGAGGTAAGCTAGGCACTTATATACTTTATGCCTATAGCGCGGCCTAGGGTTATAATTATATTAGGCTAGCTTTCCGGCTATAAATACGATATCTAGCTTAGTATAAATTGCTAGATAAATAAGCGACCTAATTAAAGAGATATATTTATATATCTCTTCTTTTAAGGCTTACTTTTTATAAGGGACGAGCTCTTTTATTATTAGCGGGATCTTAGGCTTATAAAGGATATTATTATTAAGGATATAATATTTCTTTATAGTCTTAGAGATATAAAAAGCTTACGAGAGCTATATCTTCTTAAGATCCCTATCCTTAATAATCTCGATACTAAGGAACTAGCGTAGCTCTCCTATATACGTAATAGTATATATCTTTATAATAGCCTTATATAGCTCTTCTTAATCTTATTTTTACTTTTTTAGATATATTATAACGATATTATCTATAAAGATAAAGATAATAATGCCCTTATAGACTAGTATATAGGCGTCTTTTACTAGCTACTAGGCTCTTAGTTTAGTAAAGAAACTAGATATCTCTTTAAACTATAGCTTTAAGGAGATATAGAGCCTATATAGTGCTTTTAATAGCTTTAGGCATAGCCTAGGCATTAAGAATCCCGGTAGAGGCTAGTAATAGACTTCTTAGCGTAGGATTATATATAGAAATACTATTTTTATATTATATTATTCCGTCTTAAAGTCCTCGAGGTAGTAGAAGGCTATTAGTAGTCGAAATATTCGTGCTCGTAGCATAGCTATATATATATCCTCGTTACCTTTAGGTTATAGGTCTCTACGAACTATAATATATACTTTAAAGCGTATAATATACCCCTATTTATCGGTCTTATATATAAAGACCTAATATAAGGGGATTAGGAAGTAACCTTTCTATTTAATAATAGTTTTTAAGATAGTCTTCTATATACCCCTTACTAGGTTTTCCTTTATTTCGCGGTCTATAGCTTCCTTCTACTTATATATAAATTCTAAAGCTATTACCGCGTTAAAGGAGGTAGGGGGGGGCGGTATATCTTTAACGTAATGCTTATACTTACTTACCTTTACGATAATATTATTAATACGGGATTTCTTAGGCCTATAAGCTTATTTTCCTTTAATAATATTACTTAGGTTAATCCCTTATAACGTATCTTTTCGTCTACGTTATTCTTATATTTATAATATCCTTAAGCTAGCCCTACTAACCGCTAGGTTAAGGGTATAGGGTTTAGACTAAGGGTTATCTTCTTAAACTTATACTATAATCGTTCCTTTACCCCTTAGGTTAAGAGGTATATTATTACGTTCGTCTTAAGGAGATAAGTTAATTAATATAGGTATTATATCTTTAAGCTATCTCCCTAATAAGATATAGGAGGGGTTGCTAGCTATAGTACCTATTATAGGCGTAGGAGGTATAGAGCTTAGTAACTCTATATTAAATATAGTATTAGGTAGAAGGGGTAACGTTAAAATCTCTATCCCTAGGCCTACTATTTCTAGAAGGGAAAGATATATATATCTATATAATCCCTATAAGGGCGTCTTTAATCCCTAATCTTCTAGAGTATATAGGGGCAATAAGTCCTATAGAAGGGTAATTACTTCTTTTAGCGTCTAACCGTTATCTATATTATCGTCGGATAAACTTAGTACCTTAAAGGTTTTAGGTTCCCCGCTATCTATAGCGTCGGTTATAGCTATATCTCTAAGGATATTATAGCTATATATTTATACTAGCTAGGCTTATTCTTCCCTTTTTATATTATAGCTTATAAACTTATTAAACTATATATTAGCTAATACTATTAGTTTATTCTATCTAATTAATAGTACCTATATAACGTATTATTAAGTAGACCTATATCCTACTAAGTACTTAATATAAGCTCTTTACTTAAAGGGTAACTATATTATATATAATTTAATATATTCTAATACCGTAATTATTATTAGGAACGCTATATAGCTAAAGACCCTTAAATATATAATATCTAGTTTAATATCTTTAATATAGTAATATAGTAGATTATTTTCTTTTATCTAGGTCTACTAACGCTTATATAGGCTCTACTAGCTATAATTATATAATTCGAAGGGTATTATATTAAGTAGGTATACCGCTATATAGTATATCTCTAGCTATAGCTCTTCTAAAAGCTTTAAGTTAAGCTTTATAACCCTTACTTTTTCCTTTACTATTGCCCTTAATCTCTCTACGTAACTATTTTATATAGGCGTTAAAGGGGCTAACTATATAACTTATATCCCTCTATTAGTTATATAATCCTTTTATTCTATTATTAAAAGAGCCCTTTTCCTATTAGTAACTAATATAGTTATTTTAACTCTATATTAAGTCTTAAGTAATACTATAAAGTTATTAAAGATATCCTTAATACCCGTTTTTCTTTCTATTAAGTAATAGAACCTTATAGATATATCTATATAAGTAAATAGGGCGAAGTTCTTTTCCCTATTATATATTATTATAAGGCTAGGTAAAGGTTAAAGCTAACTTATACCCCTAGACCTTTAGGCCTTAAGGATAGTATTTTTCTTAAGACTTCCCTCTTAGCTTTCCCTATTATATATATCTAATAGTTATATATTATAGGGCCTTAAAGCTTAGTACCTAGGTAGGCTTTTAATAGCTTCTTTAGTAATCTTAGACTAGGATGCTTAAGGCGGCGATACTATAAGTTACCTACCCCTTAGTTAGCGGCTTAGGTGCTTAAGTAACTACAAATACCCGCTTACGCTATAGGAGTATTCCTATTATAAATTAACCTTTAAAGTCGGTTAGTTTAATATAAACCTCCTTTATAGGTTCTAAATAAAGGTATCTTAAGAGCTAGTTTTAGAATATCCTTACTATTAGACCGTACCGATTACGTATAGCCTGGTCCGGTGCCTGAGGCACGACCTTAATGGCCTGAGCTTGCTGAGGTAATCCTCGAGTTGCATGTGACTTACAGATTAGGTATAGTGCGCTTTGTCGCCTTCGCACACCAAATGGCCTGAGCGCTGCTGAGGTAAAGATCACAGAACCCTTTCGCCTTACATCGGCACAGTGCCAAGGAAAAACATCAACAGTGAGCACGAAATTTTTGAAACTGCAGCAAAACAGAGCGAAACACTCCCGCTTCTGACAGCGACGGCCTCCACGAGTCATCATGCTTCCCCCAGTGTGGTGCACCTCGTGGAGGCCCAACGTCTGTCAGCAGAATGCGGGAAAAGACCACACCACATTGAGAGCACGCCGCACACGACAAACGCCAACGCGCACAGCAACAACACCGCAGAATGCGGCCCGACCTCGACTCTGTGCAGTGTAACGGTGGTGCCCAAATACGATTCCCCTTTTCAACACAGCAGCTACGGATGGGTTTCCTGGTCGCCCATCATCACGACAATGTTTGCAACACCCCACAACGAAGTCGTCGAACAGAACGAACCGACGCCCCGCTTGCGCAGCGCCCCAGACACCCAGCATGCTACGATCGGTGCTGCCAAATACTACAGACACAGACAGACTGGTCCCCTGTCGCCCACATCGTGAAGGAGGAGTGGTGACCCTCCAACACGCGACACTGTCTACGAACATGCTACGTTGGGGCTCTCGGGCCTAGTTATTCGACCGCTTGAACCGAGCGGAGCATTGCATTTCGCGGAGCAGAGATCGGGTCCATGCTGAGGTTGGTTTGCTGGTCGAGCAGACGCAAACACACGGCCACACAGGAACCGAGCAGAACGTAACGAGATCATATCAATACCATATTTACACGAACATGCGCAAGTCCGGGGGACAGGGTCAGAAACGGAACAGACGAAGCCGATGGCTGGGGGGAGACTGTAGGTACACAGACCGCATACATGGTGCAAGATCGCATTTGCACCGACAGATCCGAATATTTGGGTTGCACACAGACAATTCACACAATGCAAATGCGACTCCGTCTCCCGTTTATCTCCAATGCAAACAATCCTGCGCTATTTGCTACTAACGTTGTCAGTAAACACATGAGATCCTCAACGGGTGCCTTACTATTTAGGCAGATGGTCCTAGGTTAGGTTGCGCAACTGGGACATGGCCGCCCGTCAACCACTTTTTGATCCTTGCAGATCTCGCAAGTATATATAGGCATTTTTTCTGCGAAAAAAAAAGTTGACTCGATTCGCCTAGGTATTCCTAGAGGAGGAGAAGTGGATGGATGGTTGAGCGCAGGGATGATTGAGGGTGGTTGAACATGGTTGAGTGCTGCCCGGAATCCTACGGGCCTTTTATTGTCGCCGCCTTGACTCGAGGAGGGGAGCTTTTGGCAATAGCCAATCAGGTATGTGCGTCCACAGTCATCCGACCAACAGGGCCCAGAATTTCTGGTCCTCATTCTCGAGGTCTTGATACCCCTTTAACCTTTGTAGGTCGGCAAGCGGGTGACAAATGATATCGCCGCTGCTGCCCACCAAAACTGCAATGGAGGGACCGGCGGTTTTTCCTGGCACGCGCTTGGTCGGCAAGTTGGTAAGTTACCAAAAAAGGCCTGGAATTTCTGGGTTCCGTTCCTTTACGGCAGTATGACGACCGCAAGTCGATCATCTGACTGACAGGGATCCAGAATTTCTGGGTTCACTCCTCTATGTGCCTCTCTAGCAGGGGTCCAGAATTTCTGGTCCCTATATCCGTAGTCTGTCTGTGAATTTGCCCCCGCGCGATAGCTCACACGTTCCTGGCGTCGCCAGCCACTTAGGCCTGCTGCCTGGTGACGCAAGCTGCGGGTGCAGCGCTCAACGGCAGCATCCCCCTCGTATCTTGGGTCGCGGGGTATGGCGCCGACACAAGCACGACATGATGGAAAGGACTGTGATGTGTCGCTCTGCATTAGCGGCTCGCAGTACGTCCATAAGCAGCCAGGCAGAACTCGAGGTGTCTCATCGATGGACCCTGGGCTCGTACCCGTGCTCTTGCCTGGAATCATTTGTATAAAATCTGGCATATCGCCTTGACACAAGAATCCCCAGCCCCCACTGACACCATTCTCTCTCCTCGACACCTTTGCAAGAGCCATATTTGCATTCACATCTCAGAACTGACTCCGCCCCTCTAGCCTCTTGCCAGCAAGATATCTAGTATGGTCCGGTCTATCGTCTCAGAGCTGGTGAACGAGAAGCGCTGCACGAACAAAAATTGCACGTACAACAACAACACGAGCGTCAAGACTTGTGAGGGTTGTGGAGCGCCAATGGAATGAAATGATTCCACGCCCTAGCGCCTCTGTATGACTTCCTACTAGGTCTATTAGGCTTATGCATGGCTAAATTTCTCTAAGCGCTGCCGATACGGCTGTGTCTAATATGGCGGTCCTCAGCGGCGGCGGTGGGAGAATTGGATTTGCACGGCAGGTCTTTGTGTTTTGAGGAGAAAATGGTTCAACTTCTTGATGATGGGCTATGGACGTCCATTAATAATAAAGCTCACTACTCTTCTGGTGTACAAGAACCAGTGAAGCCAGGTCCCCAACCCACTAAGTGACAGACCTGCTCCAGCGGCGGAATACTGCATCCAGTCGCTTGTAACCGCTTGCATCGAGTGCCTGTCCTAGGAGCTGACCCCATAATTTCGGTTCGTCGGTCTCACATTCAAGCCAAAAGGCTCCAGCATACACGGGCTTAGTGGCCACCCAGAATTGTGGGTAATAAGCTGCGGATTCCCAGTCAATAATTCCAGTAACAAGGTTGCCATCCTCTGATATCATGATGTTTGTCGGTCCAAGGTCTGCATGGTAGAAGTGAAAGGGCAGATCAATGTCTGGGGCAGGTTCAGTCGAGATGTTTGCCATGTAGTCCTGGATGGCCTCTAGCGAGAATGGACCAAGGATTCTCGGTAACCACGCGGGATGGGATGGATGAGCGCTCTCCATCAACCTTGCTTCATAGACACCACATCCAGTGACCGTTTCAAACCGAGATGAAGTGTTGGCAGCCAGTAAAACACAGAACCACGCGATATCATGGGCAATTCGTATGCGTTGGGGCGGGGAGAGCTGCGGCCACGCTCGTTCCAACGTTTGTCCTCGGACTCGCTTTGTTATGAGGAAGGTTCTGTTGAGGTCGTGATCGATCCACGAGTAGACAACCTCTGGGACGGGCACTTCTGAGGCCTTTTCACCTACGAATCGAATAGTGTTGGCCTCAAGCTCTAGCCCTTCGCACCAGGCATGTACCTTGCAGAATGCATTCTCTCCGAGGCACCAAACAGCTGCTGAAGTCCCCCCGACATGTATCCTGTCGATCTCAGCGTCACCTCCTGACATATCGTTTGCGGTCTTCTTCCGAAGGTAGAAGGTGTTGTCGCCATCTTGCCAGTCAATTATTACGGTCGCCGGTTTGACCTCTGGATTCTTAATCCTTTCGCAGATCATCGAGGAGCCCAGGATCCATCCATGAGGACTGATTCGAGTGATGGAAAACGCTATAGGAGGCAACATTTCACTATCACAAAGGAAGTTAATATCTGCGAGACGGTGGACGGGGTCGGACAAACCAAAACATTGTTGCGGATTGCGACCAACTGGTGTACGAAGCATCTGCAAATGATGTTAGGATGGGCAGCCGGGTTGCGGCTCGAAGTTCGCTGGTGCACTCAAACAGCGGAGAGGAAATTTCTCTCTCGGGATAAGGGATTTACCGGTGATCTGCCGGATCCCGTGACCCGCCGGACTACTACCGACATTCTAGGCCTCCATGGCGTAGTGGTGACACGTCTGGAGCCTCTGCGTCGCAGAGGGGTCGGTTCGAAGCCGGCTGGAGGCACCCCTAGGCGAACAGGGTACACCCGGGTTCCCGCCCGTCAAGAGGGAATAGCGTCATAAGAGAACACAATCGGCGTACCAACCACCATCAATAACTAACACAACCACGCTTCAACTTCGACACATCGCGCTTTAGTTACTAGGAATAGGATGCTAAATACTTAGAGAAATTGACCTTTAAGCAGGTCTATCATAGAGCGAACAGTAGAATAGTTAGCGCAGCGTAAGATGATCTATAGGGCTTAGGGAGTTAAGTAATAAACGTGCGGAACTATACTCTAGACTGTATAAAGGCCTTATAGGGACCTCCCTCCGGGCGAAATAAATCCTACCTACCTACCGATATTCTAGCCTCTATGGCGTAGTGGTAACACGTCTAGAGCTTCTACGTCGTAGAGGGGTCGGTTCGAAGCCGGCTAGAGGCACCCCTAAGCGAATAGGGTATACCTAGGTTCCCGCCCGTTAAGAGGGAATAGCGTTATAAGAGAATATAATCGGCGTACTAACTACTATTAATAACTAATATAACTACGCTTTAACTTCGATATATCGCGCTTTAGTTACTAAGAATAGGATACTAAATACTTAGAGAAATTAACCTTTAAGTAGGTCTATTATAGAGCGAATAGTAGAATAGTTAGTATAGCGTAAGATAATCTATAGGGCTTAGGGAGTTAAGGAATAAACGTTATTAAACTATACTCTAGATAGTATAAAGACCTTATAAGGACCTCCCTCTAAGCGAAATAAATCCTACTACTACTACTATTACTATACTATATATATAGATATATATATATATATACTAATACTCTATAAAAATATAATTAAAAGCTTAGAAGCTTAATTTATTATCTCTCTATTAAATCGGAAAAGCTATATAGTAGTTAAGTCGGCAGTATAAGTATGCTAGTAAATGCAGGGCCTAGGGTAGGGCCGCGCGGCCCCTTATCGTCGCCGACTAGAGGTAGAATCGTAAAACGTAAGCTACTCGATAGGATAGTAAAAGAGTTAAATAAAAGCAGCCGATATACGATAAGAGCGATAAGAAAGGAAATAGGTAAAATTAAATATATAAGACTACTAGGAAATAAAAATATTAATAGTAGTTAAGAAGAAGTAGCGATAATTAAGAAGGTTTAGGAGCTACTAGACGAGTATTATACGGAATTCCGAGGATTAAAAGAGATACTTAGAGAGCAAAATAAGATTATCTATAAGTAGTAAGAGATAATCCGAAAATAGAAAGAAGAAATAGAAAAGTAAGGAACTATTAGCCGAGAGCTTAATATTTATCTAGAAGATATAAAGTAGTAGATAAACGACTAACTTAAGTAGGTCCGAAAGTAACTCGAAGCTATCGTTGCCGGCGTAGCGGTTACCCCGCCTAAAACGTTCGCTAAGGTCGCGCGATTATCGCCGTCGCTATAATAGAGCACTACCCTATCGCTCTCGCTTAGTAATACTATAGAACCTACCGCGAACGAGTTTTTCTATATAATCGATATATCCTAAGTAGAGGAATAGGATAGAGGCTAAGTATAGATAGGCTCGATTCGGTAAGCTATTAAAAATAAGGTTAGAATAAAAGAAGGTTAGGTAAACTAGAAGTATATAGTAGTTATAAGGAACTCTTAAAATATAAAGTAAGTTAAGGTTATTTATAGAGATAAAGTCGAGCTATAATAAATTAAGGAAGCTATATAGAAAACGGCGGTAACTAGAGCTTAAGTAATAAGAGATTAGCTTTACCTAGTTAAAGTTAATAATATTAATCGTACCGCGATCCTCGATAGAGAAGGCAATATCCTATAAGGTATAGCTAAGGCTCTCGGTATCGAAAATAATATCTTAATTAGTAAGATTACCTAGCTAAGTAATAAAGAAATAATTAAAGTATATAGGTCTATAGTAGTCTATATAACGAAAAAGAATAATATAAAGAAGCTTTTAGATAGTAAGTACTTTAATTTAGCTAGAGAGTCGGCGTATACTAATCCCTTCGAACCCTATAAGGGACCGATATAGTACTTTAACTATTAAGATATAAGCTATAAAGCCTTTAAGTATAGTAAGCCTTAGGTATATAGAAGGTATACCGGTGCGGGTTATTACTATAGGGAGTACTATATAATAGAGCCTAGATACGTTTTATACTATAGACTATATAAGTTATTTAGCCGGAACTACCGCGTATAAAACATTTACTTTAATATATAAGATACTAAGTATTCTATAGCTTAATATACGAAAACGGGAACTAATATAGTAGAGTTTAATAAACGACGAGGACCTTAAGGATTACGGAGTGCTAGCGGTCTCTAAACCGTATACTAGGATAATCGACGGTAAGGTAGTAATAAGCCCTCGGATATATAGTAACTTCTTAAGGTATATAAGCAAAAGCGGAATTTTAGGAAATTAAGGAATTACGTAAGACTATATAATAGAGGGGAAGAAGGAGTATAAGGTAGGATTTTCAACGGAATTTATTAGTAGTATATTAGTATATAGAAGAGGTGTTAAAGTTAATAATTCTATCTCTATCTACTAGCGGATATACTATCTTATATAGATAATTATAGCTAAACGGAAGAACCTTTTAGGACTAGATTTAGGCTACCGTATAGCCCTAAGACTAAGGAATTCTATGATACCTCGAGTAAATCTAAAAGTATCTTAGTTTTACTAATATTCGTGTTTAAAGGAGGTTAGTTATGCTGGTATTCTTAAGAGGTCTTAGCTAGCATTCTAAGCTAGCTCTATTCCTTCGATTCCGATTATATAATAACCGCCAACCCGTTTAATATATAATAATATATAAAATAACGAGCGATTCTTACTCTATAGGATAGGATTTTATCTATAATTAATATACTACTTGTTAGCTTATATAATCGGGAGAGTATATTATAGCTGCTTTATTTATAGTAGGAACACCGTTCCTTATAGCCTCCTTAAAGAGTAGATTTATATACTTTACTAATTTATTTATAGTAATATATATATAGGGTAAAAACCTAATTTAGGAAAACTATTCTTATACCTTAATAGGATATATAAAACCTATTCTTTCTTAAGAAAAAACTCCTTAGGTATATACTAATAGAAAACCTATAGTAGGAAAAATCTATAGTTATAATAATTATTTATAGGATAACCTTATATAAGGTAAAACCTATTATTACTAGGAAAATATTAATAGATAAAAACCTAGTAAATATTTTTCTAGGAAACCTAAAAAGGAAAAACCTAGTAAGGGAAAGATATAGAAAGTATAAGAAATATCTAAAAACCCCTTTTAATTGCTTAGGAACTTATACTAAGGATAGACCGTCTCTAAATTTATAAAGTAATCTAGGTCTTAATTCCTTTATAAAAATATAAGCTATATTATCTTTTAATTTAATATAAAAAACTCTAATTTCCCCTTCTCTTATACTAGTTCTAGTATAGTAATAGGCTAATCTTATATACTTAGACTATAACGACCGGTATTATTCCTAAGGGATAAACCTATCGAGGGGTTTATATTAGTAGATATAATAGGGCGTAGTCTAAGTAATAATAAGTATATTACGTTAGTAATAAGTTAGAGGTCGTAGACTATAGACTATAACTAAGTAATTAGAATTAAAGATAAAATCTTAATAAAGATCTATATTAAAAGCTAGAGAGCTATCTATCTAAAGGAGTAAAAGTAGGTAGCTATATATACCTATAGAGACTGTCCTTAGATTACGGTCCTAGCCGTAATCCCCTTCGTAGCTTACTATAGCTTACTTATAAGCTATGCTCCTAAATAGTAATCTATCTATATAAAGCTTACTTAGCTTACGTACGCTCTAGGTAAGCTAAGCCTAAGTAACTTCTTATCCCGACTATTATTTTAAGCCGCCTTATTACGTAAACGTAGCCGGCTCTCCTACGGCCCGCTAACCGTAGTCGTAATATAATATCTCCCCTCCTTTTAGTCTTATCTATAAGACCTACTACTACCTTAGCCGCCGTATATAAATATACCCTTATCGCGCGTATATATATTCCCTGTTTCGTCCTTTCTATCCCTTAGGATATACTACTAATAGTATATCTAATTACGTATCGAAAGATCGTTCTTATAAGACCCTTAAGCGTATTTATTTAGCTAAGTCTATTAATCGTTTTAGTTTCGACGTTATACTATATTCTTTTTATTTATTGCGCGGCTTCCCCTATAAAATACTAGAGAAATCTTCTAAGTATACCGAATATATACGGCGGGGTCGTTCCTACGATACGTCGGGCGTAGCGATTAGCTCTTATAGGTAACTTCGTTATCCTACCTATTATTTATAGCTAACGTATTTCTTAGTATCTTAAATAAATCTAGAGTCCGATTAATTAAATAAAGAAGAAGAAATTACTAAGGAGCGAATATTAAAAGCTTAAGCCGACCTAAATAAAGCCTTAGCTCGTTTAGCGCGGCTTTACTATTAAAAGCGCTAGCTAAAAATAAAGGGTACCGAGATAGTCTATTAAGGCCTTCGTTCCTTAGATAACCTTAACGAGGCTAAGCGCTAATAATCTAAAGCAGTAGTCGATATTTAGTCTATACGTAGATTTAATATAATTAATTAGAATGCTATTAGTATATTAAGCGATTTTACGATGCCTAGAGTAGATTTTACTAGTAG